GGTACCTGTTTATGGAACTCATTGTTAATTACAAATCCCAGTGTCTAGGCAAAGGACATTTGTTTCTAACCTTGCTCCCCACAGTTTATGATCCATGAAACTCTGGCCACTGTTTTTCTTGAGATCACAGACTGTCAAATTTTTTTGCATGTATCTGTCTCCATTTTGTATACATGTATGGAATCCAGCTCCTAATATATCTGTTATCCTACTGAGACGAACGGTGAGTCTAGAACACAGTGTATTGCTTTAGAGAACTTGAGTCAGACTTCTAATTTCAGAGTGAGTCATTTACATTTATCATCAAACAAAACTACATTGGGTTCAAAGTCTGTGGAGGATTTTGCAGTTACACTGAGGATGGTGAGACATGGTGAAGATGGTATAGAAAAAAAAATTATGTATAATTCAGATAGGAAGACTGTTTCTGCCCCACTCTGAAAGCCTGCTGGTAATAATTAAACTAAAGCAATACTCACCCTGCTGTGAGAGGAATGACAGAGGTAGATGGGGAACCATTGCAGCTTTAACTAAGTTAGCTCAGTATCAGTGACCAGAAAGCCATGGAGTCAGAAGTTAGAAGGCCAAAATAATCAGGCAGGCTTGTACAGTTCCATACAGCACAAATGCTGCCTTTGAAACCCAAGTGCTAAGCTAGAGGCTGGCTGGACCTGCTGCCATCCTGCTTTTTACTGCAGTCTTGAACAGTACCCAACATTTTGGCTAGAGCAGGTGGTTTGGCGTCTGAATTACTCAAAAGCTGTATCTTACAACTCCATTTAAGACCAGACAATCAGTAGCTTATGGCATAGAATGAAGGCACCCTCTCTCAAATGACAAATCCACATCAGAAACCCACTTGCTGTACGTTCAAAACCTGGACATCCATCATCTCAAAATGCATGCCTGCTCATGCTGTGTGTCATCCCTTTGTGCAGGTAAGGTAGCTGCACCCTGCACGGAGCAACCATTATCTTATTGAACATGAGCCTCTTTCCCATGGTCAAAGAAGCTTGCATTTTTAATGCACAATGGCAACCACCTGTGAGGACCTCCAGAAAGATGGTGAGGACCAACTAGCATTAGTTGCAACTATTCATCTGGCCAAAATCAGTGGAAACCAAGCCAAGAATCAAGCAGCAAGAAAGATCACAACTGCACAAAGCCTAAGAAAACTTCACATGGAACAACCACTGAACTTCAGCTTGAGAGACATAAAAAGAAGTTATTGCTAATTTTTTTTTATTTTACTTTTTTTTTTTTCATACAGTATGGACAACCTGACATAGTTTTGTTTGCTTTGTGTTTCCATCATGTGAATCACTTCATAAGGCTTTCAGCTTAGCCAAAAATTAATTGTTGATACTTAATTTATTTCTTCAATGCCACTATAAATGGTGAAATATTTATTTCAATTAAAATAGAAAGTAAATATCAACTTCACAATGCAGATTCATGCATCCTCTTTCTGTCTGAATTCTTATAACAACAAGAATTTCACCATTAGATAGAAAAAGTACATTTTTAGTCTGCTTATTGGAAAAGGTTTGACAGTGTTATTTCTCTAATCTACAAGTTTAAAAAACAACAGGCAAGAATGATGAATCTATGTTGTAGGTTTTTTAATAGGAAGATTTAAAACTGTTTTTGTGTTTATTTAATAAGCATGGTGGTTATCCTGCAGCATTAAAATGTATTCCCAGCCTTTTTTGTTTGAGAATTTTTGCCACAATCTATTTATTCTGGATTGTGTCAAGTAGGCTGCTCAGGCAATATATGAGTTTGAGTCTTGTTGCTCCTGTTTAAATTTATTGAAATCTGGTCTCTAAAATAATTTTTAGATTTGCTCAGAAAAAGCTTCTTAGCAGCTTGTAATAAATACTTAGAGAGCTGCCATGTGTTGGCTGTGTTTCTACATTAGCAGCCCCTTTCAGCACAGTTAATACTGAGAACTTCTGAGGCACCCAGAACTGAAAGCAGGAGAGGAAGCAAAGCCCTCCTGCTGGTCCCAGACCAGTCAGAGGCAGAAAGGGGAAGCTTCTGGACTTCAGTTGGAGGTAAGGGTCAGAAAATGGTTCAGAAGCAAAAATAAGAGAGTTAAAGTAGCCAACTTGGAATTTGAACTGAAGAGAGTGAATATAGTTATTCAATGTTTCTTTAAATTGTCCTCTCTCAGTATTTTGGTCATAAAACTTCTTTACAGGATATATTCCCAATTATGCATTAAGTACAGAATTATTATTTCCTCAGCTTTTTTAAAAAAAGGTCTTAAGTCATTTAGTAATTCACAACATCATTTGCCTGTCCTTATTACCACCTCTGGGAAATTAGGTACATTGTTCGTCTTTCAAACACAGTAACAGAGGAACAGAAGATACAAGTGACCATTGGCAGAAAGGTCTTCTCACCCAGGATTTCTAAGGCTGGTGGGTGTCCACAAGATGAGGGAAGGTAGAAGAAATGGATTTATTTGAGTGACTTCAGGAAGCCTCTAGAAAGGAGGCCCTGGGATTCCAGATGCCTGCTTGGCAAGCTGGGACTGAGGGCAAAGAGAGAGGAACAGGAGGACTCTGATGGGCAGGAGGCTGCTTCCACTCAGAGGGAGTGCAGGAGGACCAGGGTCTGCAGCTACAAAGGATCCACTGTGGTTTGGAGAAGCTGGTGGGATCATGTCTGTGGTCTTAAAACATTGGAAGCAACACAGTAAAAATCTTGCTTGAGATTTTTTGTGCTCCAGCTGAGAGCTGAGTGCATAACGGGATTACGGTTGCATTTCTTGCTACCAGGGATGAGTCAAACAGATAGACTATATTAGATTTCAGTGTCCTCTCCATCCCTTTGGTGGGAGAGTTTTTAGGGCTCCTTGGGGGTGGAGCAGGGCTGGAGGTAGTGACCACACCAATCTATTCATCCAGGTCTGAGGTGAAATCAAGGAAACAGCCGTGGCAGCATAACTGATGCTGGGCTCTTGCTCTTGCTGCAGGGTGGGAACACTGGTCTCTCCTGTTGAGATCTGATGCTTATACGAGTACAAAGTACACTTCAGTTACAGAAATTCAGTATTAAAAAATAACAAGTAGGCTTTAATAACCCCTATACTCAAGGGGGAGTCAGCTTTCTATTAGGGTCAAGTTTTGCTTGAACTCCTTCAGAAATATCCAACTTTATTCCTAATGAAATATATCTGGATCATGCTTTGATATGCTACCGCCATTTATGTGCCTCTGTTTCCCAAGACCTAATGTTCACAATAAATATATTAAAAATCTGTAAGAATTCTACTTCAATGTTTTCCTTTAAGGGCTATGATAACTCAATTGATTTTATTTTTATTTTTTTTAAACAGAAGAGTTCATCTAAAGATTACCTTGGAAGCTATATGCCCATTTGACCTACTAACTGCATTTTATAAGCACTGGAAAATTTCTGTGATTACAAATATTTTTTCTTTGAAAATTGGTGCAGTCTAAAAATCAAGAGAACAGAGCCAGGTATTTATCCACTTGCTTAATATTGAGAATGTGAGTCATCCCATTGACATGTCTGTTTGTTGTTGAAGTGGGGCCTATAGGCATATGAGAGCATCATTTATTTAATGCATTTGTCACCAGAGGAAATTGCAGATCATTTGGACATGAGCATTCATAATTTCTCCAGATCCGTTCAATAATGAAGGAACCTTTACCATCTAGTGAAGAGACCTTCAGATATTGCAATGGCTCAGCCATGCCCAGATAATGCATATTGAAAACATTGATCGGAAAAATGCAGCTAAGCAGGCAACCTGCAGAGATGGCGAGAATGTGTATGAACCTTCTTAATGTTTCACTTGTATCTATGGAATCGTCTAAAGCCAACACAGCATCAAGCATTCGAATCCCAACAGGCAATTTTCTGTTGCTTCACTAATCACCACAAAAAGAAAAAAGTTTGCCTTTACACAGGTAAAAATTTTGATGAAGTGCTACTTACCACCCTATAATAGAAAGCAACAGGGGAAAAAACTGATTGCACATCACATTCTCTGTTTTTTCACAAACTGGTTATTGAGCCCCTTCTCTGACCTATGACTTTGTAAGTCAATGCATTTCTGTGTTGTTTTTACCAACTAAAACCATTATTGGTGTAATTCAGAGAAGGTAGAAAAAAGACCAGAAGGTTTGAAAGAAGAGTCAGGGGGTGCTGCATGAGCTTCCCACCTCCTGAGTCATTCTGCTGTCTCTCCCAGTGGGTATCATGCTTCTAAAAAAATAATGAAAGGAATATTTTTTCTCTCTCATGCAATATGGAATGAAGTTTCAAAATAAAAATTTCATTCTTATATATAAAAACAAGTCACAAAACAGATGTGCTTCATATGGTATATGCAGCAGTGCAAAACCATGTTTAGTCACAGACAAGTCCTCCATTCTGTCTTCCATCAGGGAGAGGCTGTTTTGGGAGATGAGGGAGGGGAGAATCCTATAAATCTCCTATGCCTCACAGAAAAAAAAAGATGAATTTAGGAAGTAAAGAGAGCCTCACACTGAAAATGCTATAAAGAAGCAACAGTACATCTCTGCATCAAAATTGTGCAATCCCAGGGATGCAGTTGTGTGCTTTAAAACACACTCCAATTTGGATTCAGAATACAGAACCAATATAGCCTCCCACAGAAAAAGAAAACACTTGTGGATGACCACCTTAAAATAACAGCAACAAATTACCACAATTAAGATGGAAAACACAAACTCAAAAATAATCCTTATCACAAACATGCAAGCTTAAAAAACATAGGACCAGAAAGCTACAGAGCAACATCATTTATCATTATTGTGCTAAGACCTGATTGAATGCTATGAAAAATCATGCAGTGGCAAAGATGGCTATTATTTCCTCTCCTCTTGCTCTATTAATATTAATTGAAAACTAGGTGTGGCACCACAAGAGAAGAATCTTGGTAAAAACCAGCTAGAATTTGTTGGCTTTTAGCATTCTAATTAAATATAATGGTGTCTTACCTGATTAAAAGAGGATTAAAAATCATAGCATAAGAAATATCCATACACTTGTAGATAGATGATGAGAGGCTCCTTCTACTGCAGGTACAGGTTCCTGGGCAAAGAAGCTTGTAAACTCTTGATTTCACTGAAATGAAAAAGGAAAGAAATAAAGAACCTCCCCATAAAAGCAACAAAGGAGCCTCTGCAGTATTCTGTAGTGTCTTCGCCTGCTTCCTGTTCTGAGCTTCACTCCTTGAATCCCAGCATCGATCAGAAAATTGGTGGTGGGGGAAAAAAGGGAGGGGGGAGAGCGGAGAGGGAGGAAACGAAGCGGCAGCGGATTCCGTGCTGGCTCCACCTCCCGGCAGGACCGAGCGCGCTGGAGCCCGCACAGCCTGCGCGCCGTTACCCTCGAGTACACAGCTGTAAACACGGGAGCACTGAGCAGTGCTCACCAAGTCTTGAAAACTGCCTTGACCTTTAAAGTACACAACACAATGATTTTTTTTTATTTTTAATTTTTACAATGAGGTAAGTATTTGAATACATCAGTATACATGTAACTGCAGAAAACTCAAGGGACTGCCAGATATCTTTATTTTACTATGTACTAATGCACGTCCTGCAAAACACAAATGACATTTATATATTTATTGAAAGCTAGAAGGAAAAAAAAGTTGTTAAGTATGACAGAAGGAATAGATGTTTGGATGTAGCAAGGAGTGTTACATTATTTCTCAATAAAGAGTGTTTAGGGTGATCTCTTTTACTTACTTTAATCCAATGCTCCATAGCATTTTATAGCATCTTAGAACTGATCTTTGGTATTCTGGATACTATTAGTTGTAAAAGACTAATGCACAAATTGACTGCCTCACCCCAGTTGTCTCTAGCCACAATTCCTATAATAGCAGTGTTGGATTTAGTGTTACTAAAGGATACCTTATACTGGAATGCTGTGTAGCTGACTGTTTCTACTTTTATCTTCTATTTCTATCACGTACACCTGCTCTGTCACATCACACAGCTAGCAGCCACCTGCATGTGGGGTTGGCTCAGCAATTCTCAGCTGTGGAGGAAAATTTAATCACACCAAAACATGGGGCCTGGGGGAGGAAAAAGTGCAGAGTTAACTACGAGTGTATCTAGATGAAAACTGTGGACTTTATAATTGGGATCCATGATCTAACTCATCACAAAAATCAGTGTTGTCAACACAAGGGAGAAGCTGAAGAGAGAGTCCATTTGAGTAAGGACAGATATTTTTGTCAGCTTAAACCATTCATCACGGTCACCCCAAAGCCTTGGAGTGTCCCAGGAAAATGGTCCATTTTCATGCTTGTTCAAGCCCTGCAATGGGATCTTGGACCCTGAAAGGACTTCAAAATACTACAATAATGCAAGAAGTGATAATACATGTATTGTGTGGGCATGGGCTGAGCATCTTAGAAATCCCGTTGTCACCAAAAAATGAGTTTTCCAAAATACTACAATAATGCAAGAAGTGATGATAATAATAGGTCAAAACACCTATTGTGTGAGCATGGGCCGAGCATCTTAGAAATCCCGTTGTCACCAAAAAATGAGTTTTGACCTGAAGGAATTTTTTCCTTAAAGCAGTCCTTTATACAGAGCTCCTCACACTTGTGAGGGGTTTCCCCGCGAAGTGCCGGCAGTGCCACCCTCAGCCGGCGCTGTCCGCGGTGCTGGAGCGCGGCCCGGCGCCACGGCCACCGCTCCTCAGTGCCCGCACTCCGCAGCAGGGCACACAGCACGACATACTCTGGGATGTACTTTGATAACTTTGTATAAATGTGGAAATACATCATAAATGCGTATAGGCCTACTTGAGACCAAAAATTCTGAAGCTGATATTCAAAAGCCTAATTCTAAAGTCACTTTTTGAATGTATTTTTTGCAAAATTATAATTTCATTGGAATATGTAATATTAAAGATTTGAGTATTAATTCAACATCATAAACTAACCAAGAACTTCTATGCTATCTAAGAAAAAAATAACTATCATTTGAATTAATAACATCTGTAATATTAAAAGTGAGATAAAACTTGTACAAGAAATTTGGAAATTATATGAATCTTTATTACTTATGATAGTACTAATATGTAATTCTTTGCAGTAGAGTAGCAATTTGGTTAAAGATGTACTGGTAATAAACATGAATTTCAGCTGCATTATAAAAAATATACACAAAATCAGAGAAGCTTTTATTCTGTAATCTTAATCCTTCTACTCACTTCTCACTTCTATAATCTGTAGGTATATGGCAATTACATCTTAGTGCTAAAGTTTATTGGAAAAATGAGATTTGATTTTCTGTATCTTCTGTGAAAAGTTAAACAAGATGTGATAAGATCTCACATATACCACAATAAAGTGCCACAGTAATTAAAAGGCAATAGACTTAACTGCTGAGATTCTCTGGAGTTTTCTAAGGTTTTATTTTCCCGTAAAAACTGAATTTTTCACAAAGTGGCACAAACTTTCAAACAGTTACAATGAGAAAGTAGAGTCTCTCTATGAAAATTTCAGAAGAGATACAAAGAGATCCTAACAGATCTCATAGCTGATTCTAAATCTCCTAAAGCTATCCAACAACAGCTACAAACATGGTTTCTTATTGGTTTGATTAACCATTTTAATAGTAATTATAGGAACTCCACAGGAATGAAAACAAATATGCATTGAATAAATCTCATTTTCTGATTTTACTTCGAGTGTCCTAAAACTAGGATAGCTGGAAGAATCTCTCTGCTTATTCAGCCATGCTGATAGAGCTCATTTCTACCAGAAATTTCTCTTTGCCTCTTAGAGCATGGCTAACAGTCATCTGCATAAAAAATAACCATTCTATTAAATCATGCAAAAACATTTGCCCAGAAGAGATGGAGCAAAAGGTCAAACTCCAGTTTCCACAGCACATGGGATGTTAAGCTTACGGAGCAATGCTTGGAGCTATTCTGGCCAACAGACATTTATCTACGCCTGTCGTTTACATGCCTCAAAGAAATAGCTGCTTCCCATATGTAAAACCCTTTCTTTTCCTTTTTATCTTTTTTTTTAATCCACAAATCTCTTGACTCTCAAACTCTAGACCTAAATCTGTAAATTGCTCAGGCAAAAGACAGGTCTACCTATTGAACAGTGGTTTATTGATGTGTCATCTTTTAAGAAGATATGAATTAATCTCAATCAAAAGTTATTGACCTTTGTTTAGTTCTTACAAAATCATGAAGCCTATTATTCTTGCCTTTAACATCTGAGAGTCACCTTTGCAAATTACTCATTGAAGTGAAACAAATTTAATGTTATTCTAAATATGAAGAATATTCCCTTCTCAGTTCCAGTTACTTTAAGAGAAACTGCTTTGGTGACTACTAATCATGAACAATCTTTGAATATTGTTACATTTCTTTCAGATCTAAAATATTTGCATCTGAGGTGTATTAGTGCAGGCTGCCAGATTTTACCTCTGCCTGAAAAAAAAGCTTTGGAATTTAAAAGATTTCTGAACATTTTTCAACATAATAAAAACTCTCTGGTCTTGGTATCTACTTTTGAAGCAGGGACTATTTTATGGCATATTTATAATATTTTCAAACTTTAAAGCCACTAATTTCTTTGCTGCCTGAGGCTAACACTGAAGTCCCTTTTAATGACCCATGGTGGATACAGATTTGACAAGGAATAAGTACAATGGTTTTTGAAAGAACACATCACCTCCATCTTTGCTCTCTGTGACATTGTGTACCTGTACTTTACAACACCATGCAGCAAAGAGTTTACATGTTCTGTATCCTTATCATTCTTGGCCAAAAGCAGATCAAAGTACAATTATTTTTCTTTAACATGCTAGAGTAAATTGTTTGAAATGTTTTGTCATCTCTCTCAGTATAATATATTTGAGTTTAGTTATAAAGGTACTATTTTTAGTGCAGATAACTTCTATATGTACTGTGAGACAAAGAGAAACTTTCTAAAGCAAAATCAACTTGGCAAGCATATGTTATTAAACAGAGCAATTATTCTAGGCATTCCAGCTTTTAAAGACTAGCAAATAAATAAATCATAACTTGAGGTTTGCTTAACAAAACCTCCCCTCTCTCCAAGTGATGATTACCCTTCATCTGACCAATTAAACCACATGACTCAGTAGCAATAAATGGAATGAAAACATATGAATGCAATCTCTCTGTTTATAGGTGTCCTGGGAGAACATTATTAGATTTTGTTACTAGCTCTGAGAGCACACTAGTGCACTTGTTGCTGAGGTATCATTTAATTCATTTCTCCACCTCTTAAAATCTGCCTACCTTAAATTGTATTTGTTCACTCTGAAATCGATTGCTTTCATTTCATCTTTGTTTATTGGTCTTGTCATATATATGTTAGATCCTTTTGAACATTGTCCATGTCCTGTGAACATATGGTGCTTGAAATAATAACTTCCTAGGCCTGGTTGGTCTCTTTGGACGTTACGAGGAATAACAAAATATTTCTTCACTCTTGATCCCTACAGCTTTGTTGTCCAACAAAATTAATTTATGCTATAGCCCCTTTGACATCAGGAATTAGCTGCATTTCATAGGAGAGGAACAAAGACACATACATACATTAAGGTCTGGAAGTTACACAAGAAGAGTGCAAACCTTAGATATTGGACCCTTATTATCTGAGTCAGTGCCTGTTCCCTGTTCTAACATTTATTACTCACATAAACATCTAACATTTCTCAAAATCCTCCTAACCTGTTTGCCTGTATCCCTGTAAGTTCTTGAGGCATGTGACATGCAAAAAACCTACTTCATAATAAATAAGTTGCCTTCTGTGATTCTCCGTGTTGTGATGAAATAGACATAAAATAAAAAAGCCTGATCAAGCAAGATTAGAAGAAATATTGGTTCTAGCACTTGGAAATTTGTAAACTACTTCTGCAGTGGCAGCAGATGCAGTGCATACTACATACTAGAGGATAGAAACATCTAGAACATATATGGTGGGAAAGCTACATCTTTCCAGTTACCCTATGGAACTTTTCACCAAATCTCTCACTGAGCAGTGAACCAGTGAGCCAAGCAGTGAACCAGAGCCACGTGAGGTTGGCTGCAAAGCTCCTGAAGACCAGTAGTGATGCAGATAGATCCACCTCTACCTTGAGGATCACTGGCATAAGAAATTTTTTTTTATTGATCAGTTATTTTATTATTGTTTGCTGGTAATTATCTTGGACTTAGACATCAGTTCCATATAATGATTTTATTTCTTCAAAATGTAGATACACAAGAGTCCTACTCTTTTTAAATATATGAACAGAGTATGTGCATTTATAAGAGAACATTTAAGATATCTCTAAGCGGTGATTGTTGTGTACATTTTGTTCAGCTCATGATAACTTTATGATTGTGATTGTAATTCATCTGAATGACAGGAAACTTGTAACCTGAGATCAATATTTTGGAAGCACTTAGGCCCATATGAAAGGTGGGTGGGGTGTTTTATGCTCTGTGACTTATTTTTAGTTCATTTTTACTGAATGAATGGAATTATCACAATGGAGTCCACTTGCATATGGCCTTCTTATTGGTTCTTCTATAATAGTTGGAGGGGTTTAACTATTATTTAATAACATAATATTAAAATAATATTTTATTATTAAAATCTATAACCATTAAAGTGCAGATTGCTAATCATATATCTTTATTACAATGTTAGGAATAATTTAAAGCAGCTAATTTTTCAGATGGTATGGCCTGTTAAAATAATATTATTTAAATCTATAACCATTAAAGTGCAGATTGCTAATCATATATCTTTATTACAATGTTAGGAATAATTTAAAGCACTAATTGCTAATTTTTCAGATGGTATGGCCTGTTAAAATAGATTCTCAAGTGAAAATGCAGATTATTAGCTGAAAAGCTACTATGTCAGGTCCATGGCTTGTAAATATGCATTAGTAGCTGGTCCAAAATTTATTAAAAGCAGGGATTTTTTGATTTTGGCACACTAGGGATAAAAGGAGGGAAAAAAAAGAGAGAGAGAAACTGATGAGATTTATGCACTTATATTAGCCAGCGTTGAGCTTGAATTAAAGTCATGTTTATTACACTTGGCTAAATACCACAATTTTGATTTCTTTCAAAAGGTAATGTTGGTAAGTAGTTGAAGGAATGGTCACAATATCATGGCTTATATTTTGGTGCCTTTAAGTACACTAGTTCACAACAGTGCCTGAGAATTACTAAGGAGAACTGTTGACAAAAAATAATTGTACTAATCAAATAAAATATTTAACGTTAAAACAAGTTGATGACTTAATTGCTGAAAAATTACATGTGAGCTATGTACAGGGATTGCCCTTATGAAGCCCCATACAGGGCCTGTATTCATTCATATTTAATTATTCAAAATTATTTTTCACTTTGGAACTAAGATATTTCAACATTTGTATTTCAGCTGTTTAGTTAAAAGTGACTGGATAGCTTTGCATTTATTCAGTCTTTACTGGGAGCAAAACTGCACCTGGGGCAGGATTCCCAGAAGGATTATCTAGAAATGTCAGGGCTTTTCAAGTTACATTTTTAAATGTAATTTCTGAGTTGAACTTTCAGTGATGATTCATTAAAAGTTGTAATCACAATTTAAATTGAAACAAGTGTCAGGCTGGAATTGTTATAAACTACTTTTGTCAAAGCAGCCTATTTGTTGTTGTCTTTTGAATGGTCACTTCTGATTTTCAGATCTGGCAGTGAGATCTAGAGAAGCAGAAGAAAGGAGGAGAGAGATTTTGTATATATACTATTGATCACATATATACATTTTATATAGAGGGTTTTTTAAATGAAATTTTCATATTTAAAAATGCTGGGGTTTGGGGGGAGTTGTTCCATATAGATGGTTTGATGCACTTATATTATAATTTTATATAGCTATTTGTTTGTGCCCTGCTGTTCCACTGATAGATTTCAAAGTTCTTAAGAACATTATTCAAAGTCTGTACATGAATAAGGAGGAATATAGGCTGTACATGAGCTGTGTATGACCTGGGCCTGGTTAGCCTGGAGAAGAGATGGCCAGGAGGGGATCTTATCACTGCATACAATATCTTAAGTGTGAATGTCAAGAAGATGAGACCAGATGGTGCCCAGCGACAGAACAAGAGAAGTGGGCACAAACTGAAACACAGGAAGCTCCATCTGAACATGACGAGGAACTTTTTTAGTTTGAGTGTTACAGAGCACTGGAACAGACTGCCTAGAGAGGCTGTGGAGTCTCCTTGCCTGGAGATACTCAAAACCCAGCTGAATGTGATCCTGCAGCTTGCTCGAGGTGAGCCTGCTTTAGCAGAGAGGTTGGGTTACAGGATTTCCAGAGGTCCCTTCCAACACAACCATTCTGTGATTCTGTAAATGAGCATTTACCATGACTTTGTGTGGCATGAGCATTTCTACAAACAAAACTTAGATTTTCTGAACTCTTCTTCTAGTGTGAAGATTGATAATTGAACTGTTTATATTAGTGACATAACATTTCTCTAATAGCACACCTACACCTATGAGAAGGCTGTCTTGGTATAGACAAATACATTAGGTACAGTCATTGTGCCAACTGGCATATCACAGAAGATTGCAATAAATAGAAGGACACTACCACAAAAAAGCAGGACTGGGGGTTCTCCAGTAATTTGATGTTAGTCTAACCATCTTGTGGAACATTAGTTTACAAAAATTAGCTATTCTAAGACAAAACTCTTATAAAACTTAACAAAGAATCAAGCCTCTGAACCAGCTCAGGTTCAAAACTGTTTTTCATAGACTTGTTTCTGTTGGAATTACACAGCTAGTATTAAGGACAATGCTTTTTAACAAAGTTGAAATGGTTTGTTATTTACATTCACATTTCTTTATTTTTCCAGGATAAACAGATTCAACATGTATTACTCCCCTTTAACTCTCTGATGTTACTAGTTGATGATTACCTTTGGATGATGACATAAAGACTTTCTAAAGAAAACTTCCAAAGACCCCCAGGAACTTTTTTTTAAGATTAAAAATTAAAAATTAAAGAAATTTAAGCAAATGAAAGTCCTATTCAAGGACTGGTTTCATTTGCAAAACATGATGTGTTTGCAAAAAAAATGTTCCTAAGCAATTTAAAATGCAGACACCAGCTTCTCATTCATGGGTCTGCTAAATTAACATAATCCCATGAAGGCAAAATCTATTCTATGTAGAGACAATGAACACTTTTTAGTTAAAAATATATTCCTTCTTAACTCCTAGAAGTTTATAAGTTTATAATATTAAAATAAAAAGACAGGATTTATTATTTTTTTTTTTTAGTAGGACTGTGGACTGTTCACACTCACAAAGTCTCTTTGAAGCAAACGCGGATTTGTGTGAGCAGTATGATCAGAAGTGTCCCTGTATGCCCCAGGTTTACAAAACCCAAACATTTTGAAGGTGACGGTACATCTCTTTCACTTAGTATACAGAAATTATTCTGGGCATACAGAATATAAACATCCCTTGAAAATGTATTTCTGTTTCCTACTGCCAGATTCAGGAATTTGGTGTATTTGTCAAGCACACAGCAAGTGTAACTAAAACCAAAAGGACTACTCAGAAACTGACACAAAATATTTTAGGACAAATGCTAACTGCAAAGGGGATATCTGTTCATATGAGGGATGTGGAACATGAGTTGAAGGCACTTGCTAGAGGCCATCAGAGTGGATGCTGGTGCTGGCTGCCCTGGGGTCCTTGCTTGCAAAACAAACTGTGTGACCAGGGGACAGAGAATGGGGCTGTTTCTAAGCTCTGCAGAAGAGGCATTTAAAGGAACTACAGGAGCTATAAGAAAGCAAGATATTAATTGCTTGTTATACTCATTTATTCTTGTTTTGTGGAATCATGTTTGTTTATTAAATCCCACATGACTGAACATGAAAGCTGGTAGCTTGATTTTCAATTAGGTGGGATCTGTAGCAGCCTCTACCCCAAGGCTTTGAGTCATTATATTGCACACACTTTCTGACACTGCTCAGCATTTCTACACTTCACTTTCCACAGACATAACACTCCTCAAGCTGCCAGGCAGGGCAAAACAATATGCTGCCCGAAGGATATTATTCACTCAGTACTGCTGCCCATGGAGGAGGTGGTGCTGGAGCCACTGCTCTAATAATTCTTCCCCGGATGGCCAGAGGAATTCTAGGTAAGCAGATGTAAATCTGCACGTGCCCAGGAAGCCTGTCTAAGGGAAAGACTTTGAGCTTTGCTTTTTACATAAGCATAGTACATTTTACACACTTGAAAGATGTGAACATGGTGCCAAAAATACATGGTAGTATTTAACGAATAAGAAAGCATCAAGATAATCAGCAAGTTCTGCATACACCAGTTAGGGAGGCAGTTAGGGAGTCTGTTATTTACACATTCCTCCGTTCCCATGCATTTTAAAGGAAACAGCACACTTAAAACCAAATGCTCTGTTCATTGTATGTGGAAAACGGCTCTCAAATTAAATTATTTTAATAAAAACGTCATCGGAAGGGTTATTCAGTAACCGGAGTGGTGGTGTGTGCTGTTCTGCTCCTTGCCCGCAGTGAGCGACTCCCGGAGGCGCGGGCAGCGCCGGGCAGAGCGAGGCGAGGCGGCGGAGCGGAGGCTGCGGGGGCTGCGGGGGCTGCGGGGGCTGGGGGGGCTGCAGAGGCTGCAAGGGATGCGGGGGCTGCAGGCCGGGCGGCTGCGCGCTGCCATCGCCGCCGGTAGGTGGAGCTGCCACGTCAGGGGCCGCGGGCTCGGCTCCGCGCCCCCGCAGCCCCGCAGCCCTGCCCGGCCCCCCGCGGAACGAGCCGCGCTCTCCTCCGTGCTGGGGACCGTGGGGTGGCTGAGAACAGGAAGCGGAGGCAGAAGCAGAGAGGATTCTGGAAAGGTCTCTGTGTTTTCCACCGAGAATACAGAAATTGTGATCAATTAGTAAGGCTTTGTGGATGGAAATCTGGACTGTTTCAGGAGGAGACATAGATTACATTATTTTTGGATGCTGGGCTTTGCGGTGATTTTTCATTCTCTTTCAATCAGGTAAGATAGCAAAACGTTTAATTTTACCCATAATCAATCGTGGCAACGTGATCTTTTCCACATTTTGGAATTGGATTTTTCCTTCTGGTTTGCTGTCAAGGTAGAGTCAAAGATGGAATGGGGAATTCAAAGCCATTTTGTACTGACTGATTGTGATGATGGTGTGATTTTTTTTCTTTTTAACCCCGTTAAATCTGATGTCTGTTCTCTTAATGTGATGTTGTAACGCAGTAGTCTTCCTCACAAAATCAGATCATTTTATAATCAAAGTATTCAGCATTAATTCCAAGCATTTTATAGAAATGACCTTGTTTCCTAGGAAGAAAAATCTGGTGATATTCAGACTCAGGATTCTGATGATTCAGGGATAAAATCTACGCTGGTGTATATATATATATAAAGAAATTCTTTTGAATTGAAGAAATTCCCTTATTAGCTAAATTTTGTAAAAAAATATAAATATTTTCTTTCTGTGCAATTTTTTTCATGGTTGTGTGTAGGAAAGAATGGACTCACTGACTGTTTATTAACCAGACGTCTACACCAAATGTGTAGTTCATATTTTGTCTGTATTATTACTGCCAAGCTTAATATATGCTTCTTAATAGGACTGTTTGGAGATATCAACACAAGAATTATTATATTTCTTCATTTCATTGTCCATTCATCTATTGTGTCATTCATTGTTACCATAATAATTAAAGCTGTCAGTTATTAAAGGTAAAAGGACAATATCTACTGAAGATCACTTTGATACGTGAATTCTTTTTTTCAGTAGTGGTTCTACAGACACACATAGACATTAGAGATACATGTGTTAATATTGATTTGGAAATCATTCCAAAAGAAAACAATGGAAAAAATGCCTTAAAAAAAGCCCATACAGCAGAATAAGGAGCCCACAGTTTATAAATCACGTCCTCAATGCATATATATATATATATATATAAAAATGCAGGATTGGTCTCAGGTGATATTCAGATTAGCAAGCAAGGCCTGTACCTGAAGTAATGATGTGAAAGAAAGAAGTTTTTAATTCGTATTCATTATGGTGCTTGGGGTATCCTTGTTTAACTTCAAGATAAATAATCAGTAATAATGATGCTTGTTTTAGAAACATATCACGTTTGTGCTTTCATAATTGACTTGTCAAGAAAACTGTTTCAGAAGGGACTTTTTAACTCTAACAGTTTAATATTTAATATTTGCTCTCTTGCACATCTCCATTTTGGAATGGAAGGTTGTTAAAGAGAAGAATGTGAGTTGCTGCAGTAATTTGAAGCTTCATAGCACCTGTTAAACAGACATGTTGTTTATTAGGCTGTGATATTTACAGAAATCATGCTTGTGTCGTCAGTTTACAATTTTTCCCTCAATGAGCCGACGTTAGGTCCCTCTACTGATTTTCTCAGCTCTGCCAATTAAGGTCAGTATTGCAAAATTCTGTATAGGTAATCCTAGATGTTAGCAAAGAAAGACAATTTCACATTTTCAGTGAAGAACATGAAACAATTCCCCTGTGCCCTCTAAGGTTGTCAGAGTGGCAGTTTGGTCATTTCTGTATATTATCAGGTACTCTGGAGTGGGAAATACCAAGGGAAAGAAAAAAGCATAAAAAGTAGGGTGTGTTTAATCAATATAGTGGTGACACCTTTTGTGCTTTCACCTCTTTTTCTTCACAGATGGCATTAGCTGAGTTAACTTTTACCTTATGAAGATTAGGCATGGAGAGAAATTTATTTGCCCTCAAAAGAGCAAGGATTTTTGAAGAAAAAAAGAATAGTGGGATGTAAGATGGAACTTTCTGACTGATGATATCCATTTCCTTCTGCTGCTCCCATCTCGGCCCGATGTAATTTGTTGTGTGTATGCTATGTACTAATGACGTTACTGGAGTCCCACAACTTTTGATGAATCAGTGAGTAGCAGATACCAAAAGAGAGCCATGTACAAGGCAAGCAAGTTGTGACCTTGTTCTAACATACAAATCTTGGCCTCTTTTATCTGTATGCTCTTCTTGCCATAAGATGACAAAGGAAAATAATTGCTTGAACTCTGCTTCATTTAAACCTAAGGAGAATAAATGCAAGTTTCTGATATTTGGTATACTTTATTTGTATATTTTCTGAATTCTGACAGTGATAATTGAAAGTAAGTTTCAGAAAGTTGCATTTACTCTGTTCTTCATCACAAAATGATATTTAGAAGTTACAAATTTAACTTAAAAAATTCTAGTTAGCTTATTTTCCACTCAGTGTAACTATTCTGGTTTGTTTTTTTACCTTACAGCTGTTAATCAGTAATGTATACTGTTGCCATTTGCAAGATACATTGGTTTTTTCATCCTCACTTGAATAAATAAATTGTTTGAAGCATCATAGTAAAATTGTTGCCCACTAGTTCAGGCTGCTTACAGAACACAAGTACACAGTCTGAGCTGTGGTGTCCATCAAATCAACTGGCAACCACCCTAAAAACCACGTGTAGGAAAAAGGCATTCTCTTAACTGGAAACCTGATATTATGCATTGCATCTACTCCTGATTAAAAGCTGTGAAGCACCTTGCAATGGCATGTCTAAGTTTGATATTTACCAATAGGACTCCCATAGGACCTTGACACTGGAGCTGGCAGCATGCAACCTGCTCATCTGCTTTCATCAAAATGTTCCTTATGAACAGCTGGAATCTCCAGTATATTACAGTGATAGTGTTATTGCTTGACTTTCCTTGCCTTATGGTGAGGTAAGGCAGAGGGAATAGGGATAGGAGCAGCTCAGGCAGGGACTGTGATACTTGAAAATATAAATATAGAGTGGGTACAGCATATGCTCTTGAGTAACCATAATGTGTACTACTAATGTACTACCACTGTAATCCTAAATAGGAGTAAGCAAGTTGAATTCTAGGCCGCAATAGTATCCCGTTTTGCTTTTTTCATTATGCAACCTCAAATTATTTCTTCACAGTACAAACAAACAAACACAACCAACCAACTAACAACAGCAAAAACCCCCCTGAAGATTGAAATCTCAAGCAAAAAGGAGCAGATAATCCACCCCAAAACAGAGATTTAAATTATTGCTAAACTTTAATGTGGTCCCCATCTTGGTAACATCTTCTTACAAAAAATTGCTGTTCACAACTAAGAAAGATCACAGAATATGTTTTACAGTAAAAAATGCAACTAAAAAAGTTAATCTTTAATTAAAGAGGTTATGAGGCTTTTTCACGTGTAAAAGCTTAAGGAAAAGGTCATTTATGATCAGATTAATTATTTGTATAGTTAATAATTCTTTATTGCTGTTGGTATTTTTTTGACTGAGTCATTTTACTTTGGTAAGTACAATCATGGAGCTACCATGTGCACTTTCCCCTTTTCAAACTGGAATTATTTTCCTGCTGTATCTTTGGGTCAGCGTTCTGGATGTCATATACCCTTATCAAATGGTCACATTTTGAATATGCCTGTATTGAGTGTACAGTCCATATGCATGGGTCTGGCACATGCCAGATATATCAGTTGCAGAGATGATGTACCTGCTCAGCAAGGCTGCAGTTTCACAGGTGCTGAAGTTACTGTGTGAGCACAGATCAGCTGAGGAGCACATACAGCTGACTCCCTGTCTGTGAGGTGCATCCTCACATTTCTTTACAAGATTTCCTGAGTGAAAGTAATGAGGCACACTGGTAAATCTGAGAGGATATCACAGATTCCAGTAAGGAAAATGGTTGGAATGAGCATCAGCACTATTGGTTCTGTGATCCCCTTTACCATACATACCCATTATAACTGCACAACAGAAGGATCATGGGATAAGTATACACTGCAGGCAATTGCCATTTATAGATTATTTACACCTAAATTATGTGTTGCTTATTTAATTTTAAGGCCCTCCTTTTCAGTGTGGCGAGGATCAGTGTTCATGGTCTTTTAGCATAATTTATTTTAAGAACAATGTGAAGCAAGAAACTTCCTTTATCTTCTTAACCATAAAATAATATTATGTATGATTATATAGGATTCTAGGAAGTTGCAAGTTTGTGTTCAAATCACTACAGAAATACAGATGAAGAAGTAAATTAGGAAATGAAATATTCACAGGAAAAAATAGTTCCTTTTATGTAGGGCAACATAGCACTATGTAGCCTGGCTGATGTATTAATTGAGGGAAAGTCTGTCACCATTTCTCATAAATTATGTCCTTTCACTGCCTGGTAGTCCTGGAATAGAAGCAGAAATTTTTTTGTCCATGTAGTCTGAATTTGAGGCCCCATGCCCCAATTTCTTGCCTGCCTAGATTTGCATATCCTGAAAACTCTCTCCTTTCTTAGGCATTGTTGTACTATCTTTTAATGTTTGGACACACCGAGGAATTCCAAATTTGTGTTGGTTAAAAATATACTCAGAGGATCCTAAATTTCTTGGTCCAGTTTTAAATACGTCCAAAGACAAAGGTTTCAGATGCTAAATGAATGTGCTTTCCTGACAAACAACTCTCATTGCTTACTCAAAAGCCAGTCACAGAGGACAACTGTGTAACTGTATCAAGACTCTGATACAAGAATATTTTTATCCCTTTTTATAAATATTTGAAATATATGTGTGACGGTCTTGGAAACCTGAATGTGAATTCGTCTGTGTCCCACATAAAAACACAGGGTTTTTTCTCAGATGCAATTAACATGATACAAACTTGATTTCCTTGAGCACAGAAATTTCTCCACAGTTATTATTATCAATAACACTTACTTTTTTCTTTAAATGTTGTTGTGCAGTGGCTAAATAGTAAAGATAAAACTGGCAGACTACAAAATTAGGATATTAAGTCACAGAAAATAAGAATCCCTGTACACTTTAGCAAAGTTAACCTAACTCCACAGTGGCACTCAGGGATAGACAGATGGAAATTATGCTTATTTCAGCAGATATTTGAGCGTGTTTTCCATTGAAAAGCACTCCTTAAAGAAGAATAATGCTCTAAATCTAAGTTGTGTGATAACCTTTAAATTACATAGAGGGCACTTTTAAATTGTGAGTAAAGGTATACACCTAACTTACACTCTTGCACCTTATCAAGGAGTAAAATAAATTCCCCTCATCACAAACAGCTTTGAAAATTAAAAAAAATAAAAATTAAAGTTTATTCTTACTTAATAGCCCAGTAATTTTCAAAACTTGTTTATGACGGATGAAAGCAAAAGTACTAGGCTTTACAGATAGAAAGGCAATCAGTAATGTTATTTTTATGTCTGAGTGGTGTAAATTTGATGACAGAAATAAGTAGGCAATTTCAAAAGGGCCCAAGAGTCCAAGGTCAGATTGAACTGAAGGAGGGCAATCCTAATGTTTACTGTCATTTAAATGAAATGTCTAAAGAAAAGCCTGTCACTGATATTTAAAGCCAAAATGCTCACATGAAGAAATCTGACCTGAGACAAAAGTTCTGACCGAAATCAATATAAATAAAATTCAGCCTGTATTATGAAGGAAATTCTTACCTACTGAGTGAAGCTGTAACTGAGCATTAAAGGAGTCTTCCTGAAATTATTTTGCTAACACCATTTTAAATCACTTGCCCTGTATTTCCTACCTATCGTTTTGCTTTAGTTAGTATTATAGTAGGTAGAATACTAGAATTCTAGTAGCTGCTACAGCACTAGCTATCGTTCCATAGCACATATCACTTAGAGCTATAGGCCTCTAATTAGTACAATATTTTGTTAATATACCGAAATTTCAACATTATAAGAGATAACTTTTAGAGAGATGGTGGAAGTTGTAACTTACAGGCATTGCACGTTTAGTTTTATTACATGCAGGTAGAGACTAGATATATTCCATACTCTATTTGTAAAACATTCCAGAATTAAGGCTTGATTATATTTTATTAGGCAGTTCCATGACACCTGAAACAAAGCCTTGGAGAAATCCATGCGCATCATTCCTATGCTGGGTTAAACCTTGGGTATAAAGCACTCTATTTTCATGTTGACTTTATGTGCATTTTCTTCCTTGTGTAGTAATGATCACATTCAGCCAAGGACTCTGTGTGAGCCTCTCAAACAGAAGTTCCAATTTTTCCCCTTTGGTTTCCTAGACAACTGTCAAATTCCAAATACAGTCCATTAATCTTGTGTTAGAAGAAGTTTATTCTTTCATATTTTGTATTGACTAGCTTCTGCAGCATAGTAAGACTAGGAAAGTAAGTGTTTCAGCTGCATGGTTCTTACTGATTCAATTAATTTTCCAAGTTTAGTTTGTTTCTTTTTTCTGAAATTCATAAGCAATGTTTTCCATTGCAAGTGCATTTTTGTAAGTTTCCCTAGAAAAATTTATAAAAGAGTACTACTTTACAAACAGAGCTTTCTATTTCTCTTATACAGTGAAATCAATATTGTGATATATTTAGGTATTGCCCACTGCAGTTTTATTGTGGCACAATCACTAGCATATTGTGCTATAATGGTCTTTATAAGAAAATCTCATTTTGAATAACCCCATTTCTTTCCAGTTTATCATTACATTGAAAGGGAGATAAAGAGCATGAGGATATAGTTTGAAACATTCTTTGAAGGAATGTCATGTCTCATAATTTGAAACATATTCTAACCAGTTTTAGACTAAATGTTCATGCTATATATGCAGAAGACTTCAGGAAAGAGCCCTACATGAAAGAATCAATGTAATTTGTCCATCAGGAATCACCTCTGACTAGGCCTGAGATTTTACCCATGATTCATTCTTGGGAGATGAAGATAAGCTACCCTAAATAAAAATATTTTGGTCAACAAATTATCAGCCAAAATAATTTTCTGTCCTCACTTTCAGCTACAGTAAAACTGTGTAGTCTGGACTCATCTATGAAAATTTCTGGTGTTGGAGTGAGAACCAAAGATATTAGATCGAGAAAAAAACCCTAGAGGTTTGGGGTTTGGTTTTTTAAATTTGCTTGGGGGGGGCTTTGTTTGTTTTTTGGTTGGTTTTCTTTGTTTATTTTTTGTTTGGTTTGTTGTTGTTGGTTGTTGTTTTTAGTGTATTGAAAATTATACAGAAAAAAAAAAGTGAAAAACTATATGAGATGAGATATTAGTTGAAATCCTGTAATGAAATTACACTGACATGGCCTAGGTCTACTGTAAATTTCGACAAAGTACACACAATTCAGCTTCCTTCAAGTTTTGCTGTAACTACAACTTAGATTACCAGGATGCATAGAGGTAGAGACAAGGTTGGGTTTACATGTGGAAAAGGGTTCTCTGCCTTGTGCTTTAATTCAAAATACAGATTTGTTGAATTTACCTGTTATTCTAGTGTTGTTAATAATTCTCACATTAAAAATTAATTCCTCAGCATTTTGTGAACTAGCAGATATTTTACAACTGGAAAGAAGTTACACTCCCTTTTTTGATGAAAATAAATGTCATATGAATGTTTAGCATGAGTGATTGTTCTTTTATTAGAAACCTCTAGAATCCCTTACATATTCTTTTGAAACTTTTGAGCAGAAGCACTTAAACATTTTGTTGTATCTGACCATGAGATCAAATTTCAGCCACAGTGCTGCTTGAGAGGCAGAATCCAGATGCACCCAATAGTCAGGGATTGGGAAGTCCCGTCTGTACCCCCAGGGAAAGCTGCATTCCGTGTAAAATATGCATTGGTGCATAAGTATCAATGGTGGCAGAGTCATGATTCCCTGAGGTCAGTTCTGGAGACACAGCTTTCAGATGTCTTCAGTGGAGCCTCTCCAGTAGTGACTCACCACAGCAAAATGTGCTGATCAGTGCTTCACTCAAAATGAGCAAAGCATTGAAAGAATTTGCTCTTAGCCATCACTGGGATGAGTTTATGTCACATTATTAAACAGTGGAAGCTCTAATTATGTTAACACTTATTGTATATTGAAACACTTATTGAAAATGCAATTCTAGATTGATAGGCAAATTCTGAGTTAGCTTTTGAAACATATTCTCTGTACTTGAAGTACTTGGAGATCCTCTGTCTTTAAGAGTAAGAAAAGCAGTGATCTAAGAGAAAGCTTTCACTTTTTGTTTTCCCACCTTTTGTGTTCTCTCTGACCTGATCTGTGTCTACTCAGATTTTCTTTATTTTATCTACAGAGTTTCTACTGTGGCTGTTCATGCTCACTGTATTTGGAGAAAAGTATTTTTAAGAGCTGCTTTCACAACAGCAGAGACCTAAAAGAGAGGGATGTCTTCTTCTTCTTCTTCTCTTCTCTGGAAGTAAAAGCAAAATAACAACATAAAACAGTAAAAAAAGACCCCAGAAGTATATCTAGATGAGATATCCAAATGAGAATAAATGTCTTAAAGACAGCTCATCTGAATCTCAATGGCTGAAGACTAATATGTGTAAGATGTAAGTAGACTATTTAAATTTAATGAACTGGATACCCAGATTGTTAAAGACTGAGGAACACATGGCCAACCTTTGGCCAGCTCTTCAGGTTCTTGCATCATTACAAGATACTACATTTTTCTGATATATTACTTGGCAAGGAAGAAAAATTTTGTTGCACAAAGAAAAGCATTTGTACCAGCAATCTCAATGATAGATAACTTGAAGAAGTACCCATATATTCATTCAAATATATAGTTAATTAACTTCCATGCCTGCTTAAAGACAGTAAATCCATTGGGGGTAAGGATACACTGTTCAGTTCCCAAAATGACAGGTGAGAACACTCGTGTTAGTCCAGGAACTACCAGCTGCCATGTCTTATCCCATGTCTACCAAAGACTACTAGTGACTATTTTTCCCTTTTAGTGAAAGCATGCAGGTAAAAGATGAGGGGAAGTCTTTGAAATGCACACTTAAAGAATATTCTTGAAGTACTTTTGTTCTGTTAGGTTTTGTGAAAGAACTAATTTTCATTACTGTTTTTCTTACTTCTCAGTGCTCTCAGGTTGGAAAAATACGTCTATGTGAATATGTAGACTTGCCCTTGTCTACTGTAATTAATTTTTGAGAAGCTTTGGACACAGGAACAAAGAATGAGAAAATCTTGAAGGAACTGCAGTCTTGAAGAAGCTTCAGGTCCCAAGGAGAATCCTTCCTTGCCAGTTCATTTTCTGCCAGAAATGCAGCCTTTTTCTTTTCACATTAGCAAAAGATACTGAAGTTAAATTCTGAGATTTGGCATTTCTTAGAAAAATAAAGGTAAGACAGTCTTTTCTTCTCAGCCAGAAATAATGTTTCATTGCAAAAAATGGCTAGTTGATATTCTGCTACATATCTTCATTAAAATACCAGTGGAAAAATGAAATTAACACATTTATGAGGTTCAGCTATAGAAATTTGAGTTGCATATATTGTAGTTATTTTTTCTTTTGAATGCAAGGATCTCTAATGTTGGAAGGTATTTACAAAATGTTGATTACAGTACAGTATTCCAATTAGGCTGATGGACTAAGAGACCCTTTCTCTTATGTCTGCTGAGAGGGAGTAGTGTCCAGCAATATTTTCCCAAGAAGCAGCTTCTGGATCTTTCAGACAGGTCTGAAATTGCTTCCAGTCTGTAATCTAATCTGTTTTGAGTGTTTTCCCATCTGCCTGGTCTTTCACCAATCACACTGAACCTCATGTAACATACTCTGCACAGATTTCCAAAGTCTTCCAGTGTTTTCTTTTGCTGAGGTTGGGGTTCTTAAGCTTTAGTTAATGTACTTTCACACCTAATTTCAAGTCATTACTGAGAACGTGAAAGAAGATTGCATGTAATAACCCTGAAGCAACTGAAGCTTTTACTACATTTACTATTATTTGGCCAGGTTTCCACCTATTTTAAATCACCCCCTCCTAAATAATTTTAAAGCAAGTTTTTATGAAGGAATATTATTTCTGTGACATACCCTTACTGGTTGATTTCATATTCTCATAACAAGTCTTTTTGTCTTCTGATATTTATTAATTTTATTAATAAACACCTGGTAGTGATTTCATTGTTTTTATTTTTATTTTGAATAGTTATGTAACACTAATGCCTATAGGCTACTGAGCGTGACTGTAAAAATACATACAAAAATGCAAAATATAAATACTGTCATTGCTACAGATAAATTATAATCTAAAATATTACACAATTGATCAATAGTAAACGTTGAACTTAATGGAAGAAACAAAATAAATCCTATGTATTAGGAGGACCTATAAAAACAAATTGTCAAAGTTTACTAGATTACAGTTTAAAGAGGCAGGTTCTGACCAGGTGCTAAGTTCTGGAGGCTGTTTTCACCTTGGAGGAAATCACTCCTTTCCTTGAAATACCTATTTTTATGAAGCCAGCTTTCATGTATTCCTTGCCTTAGGACCCACAGCTAATTTTAACTAAATGTCTCTTTAGATATCTCAAAGAAATCCGCATTGCATTGTATTTACCACGGTGCACTACAGCAGTGACATTTTGAGTCTCTTTGATCTTTTTGTAATTCCATTTTTTACTAGAAAATTTTAAAGCAGTAAAAAATAGGGTAAATATGCCAGGATAAATGGTAAACTATGGTAAATGTCAAATATGAAAAGATAATGATCTGTAACTTAAAAAAATATTTCAGACCACATTTTTCTTCATGAAATTATTCTCTGTACAAAAGCCATGAGAAATTTCAATTAATATATTTAATTTTAGTTCTTCTCACAAGCAACTAATATTTATCTATCCTTTTATTTCTAGAACAAACTGCAGGCAGCATTTCCTGTTTTGGAATTTGATCAGAGAACTGTAATTTAACTGTAATTTACCTTCACTTCCAGAAAACAAACACCTGAATTTTGCAAAGCAGCTTCCCAAACACTAAGAGAGGGAGCTAAGATGACTCATTTTTTCAGACTGTCCCAGCACATGCTCTCTGGTATCTTAGCCCTCCTCGGGACAGTAAGAGCTTGGGTTGAGGTATTTTTCTGGTATCAGCACACAAGATCTACAGTTTTTATTTGTAAACAGCAGAAAGCAATCTCCAGCTGATGCTGAGGTAGTGGTGCCACTAGTCCTGCTGTTTCTCCTGTGGGAGACCCACCCTTTGATTTGGACAAATAGCTTTACTTCCATTGAGAGAGCTGGTCTTATTAACACTAGTGATTTAGAGAAAAGTTTTTAATCCAAGCTTTAGCATCAGAGATCCTAAAGGCTTGGCATAGGGGAAAGCACTAGTTCCAAATTACAGTTTCTCAAATAAAAGATTACCATAAGAAAATTAGGATAGCTGGTTATTTTGCAGATTCCATTTGCCATCCTTACACTTACTCCAAGCCTAATCAACTGTTACAGTTTTAATGGAATGAAAATCTCAGTAGTCAGCTTTTTCAAGGTTTTAGCAAGCAGTACTTTAAAGGAAAAAAACCCAGCAAGGTTTGCTGTTTCTCCACCCTGAAAATTTTGAAGGGGGTGTATGCAGTTTCATGCAAAATGTAGATAACCTGAAGATTTGAATAAACAATCATGGTATCTACCTGGTACTTAGACTGGTACTTCACTTTTACCATTTGCCCTATTTAAGGTATCATAAAAATAGATACCTTCAGGCCACTTCTTCTGGCTTTTTCAGAGATACAGAAAAATTAATTTGACACTGTTAGCTAAGATACTTTACTTACTTTCTGACTCATCTTCTGTAAATGATGAGAAGATTGTTATATTAGAAATAAAATTTAACAAGTTATCAGTGGACATAACTGGCTGAAATATGTATAAAATTAAAAACATATAGATAGTGTTTATTGCTCAGTCTTATTATTTAAAGGTAGGGACTGAAAGCAAACTGGAGAAGGACTTACAGAATGAAATGCTAATTTACAACTAAATGGCAAAAGCATGTCTTTAATAAATGGGAATTTCATTTTTCTGATGAAATGTATTAAATTATAAAGCATTACATATATGATATATAAACTAGAATTGTATTTCAAATACTTGGAACTCTCTTTGCTGAGCAGCAGATGGTACTGAGGGGCCTGGACCACATGTAGTTTTGAGACTTTTTCTTTAAAAATTGTTTTTTAATGACAGTGTCTCTGAATTATTAGATATACAGACTATCTGAATTCTGCCTAATACCATTCATGTCCTGGCAGTTTAGTTACCAGATAACAAGCAATTTTAAAACCAGTGAAGGAAGGAGAGGAAAGCTATCACTAACAGATGAGCAGTTCATGAATCAAGGATTGCAAAGAGCTTGTTTAGGGCTCAGTACAGGCAACAGCACAACTTCTGTTTCATAGTTCTGTTAAATTAATGCATGTATAGAAACTGTAATCAGATACATATTTCTGTGTTGTTCTGTTAAGCTTTGTAAGCTAAATGAAAATGCTTGGGGCATATTTAGTATAGGAAAAACCTTCTTGTGTAATAGCAACAGCAAAGAAAAGATATAATTGCACTAGACAGTAGTGGAGGCAGGTCTCAAGTAATGTTTTCAACTCGTCAGGGAAACTTTTTTTTAGGGCATGTTTTTTCCCTGTGAAATACAGTGAATCCCTAAGTTTGCCATTACTTTCCCCAGTCAGTCATTGGCTCCTTTGTGGATTTCAAGAAATACAAATACATATCCTTTATGTGCTGTAACAATGCATTTTGTTACAGCATTCATAGCTGTAACAGTTAGTGGATGAAAAGTAGCCTAAACAAATGCATTGAATTATAAAGACAAGAAATACACATTAATGACTTGATTTGGATGTATCTTTTGAGACTAGTTTCATAGAAAAGGCACCTAGAGTGACAAGTTGAATCACAGACCTGTAAAATGGGGAATAAATAAATGAATTATTCAGAAAGACCAAGGAGAAACCTCAGACATCTTCATAGTTCATTAATCCTGCATGAGCAAAAGTAGTAATCAAAGGACTGTATCCAGAAAATGAGTGTGCTTTTAATTCTAAAAAGAAGGGACAACTTTGAGTTTAGGATTCTTATAATTGGGAGTTACATTAATTTTCAAAAGGGATTAGCAAAGGCATTCATCTTGTACAAAGAAAAAAAAATCGTAGCAGAAATTTCAGCGTAGAAACCTGTGATAAAGTTGCATGCTGGAGACTCTGGCTGGCATTGTAATTTACTTTTTGCTTTTATACTGCATCTGTATCTCCAGCCACTCCAAGGTCTCTGTCATTCTGCACATTACATGAACTCATAGTTCTCCAGGATATTCCTTGAGATAAATTTTTTCTTCTTCATGTCTACACTACAGAGTATTTTAATTCTGAATTTGTGGTCAGGTATCTTGGTTCTGCTTGTGTATTACTTATCTGCTTGGTGCTGTAATCTACTGACTAAATTATTTCAGTGACCTCAGTGCTGATCCTACACACTGATGGATGCTGTGTTGTGAACCCACTCCAGAGATTAAGATTTGAGGTGGCATAGGAGCATGAGTCCTTACCATGTCATGGGATTGGTAATTCAGATTTAGGAGTATGCTGTTTCATTTCTTTCCTCTGGTTCCTTACTCTAGGTTTTTCAAGCACTTTTTAACATCCCCTTCAGCCTTCACATATCTTATTTGATAAGATCATTACCGTGGCACTGGGTGTGTCTCTATGTGTGTGGATTTCTACAAACTGCCTCAGACAGGCAAGAAGCTGTAGGAGAAGGACTACTGAATGAGTGCAAATGAGCAGAATATAATATCTCAAATTTACATGTGCCATCTCCAGGATACATATGTTGCACATTCATGAAGTAATGCAGCAAACGCTATATGGCTTCATGTAACAGAAAACATAATTCAAGCTCCTTAGTTAAGCATTGAAATTCACTCTTAAAATTAGTTCTCATAACTAACATTTTTACAACAGTATGCTGTAAACTGTTGCAAAGTAGACACCAAGTAAGGCTTTAATTTATTGCCTGGTGGCAGCATTATTTAACCATATCTGCCTTCATTTTACCATTCTCTCCCTCCAGCTATTCAAACCTCTCAACTGTGCTGTACAGTACATCACTTTAAATAACTGATCTTGCTGCAGAAGGACTTGGAAGAGAGAAAAATAACACTGCTTTCAGTTGATGCACTGCAGGACTTCATAAAGAGACCTTCTGTACAGTAGAGAGTTCAATGCAGAGAGCAGGAAAAAGCAGCATCTTGCACCACTGGTACTAAAGCCATTCACAGTGAACCAGAGTCTTAGGTTTTGGACTAGTTTCAGTCTGAAATAATACTATGACACTTGCCTTGCAAAGAATCAGAAGCAGCATCTTTTCCCATATAGGCTTGATTATACATGCTGTTTACTTTTACTTAAAAGGCCTGTGGTTTTGATTCACAGCTAACAGTCAATAAATGCAGCCTAAGCTGCTCTGGGATCTAATATTAGCCTTCACCACAGTTAAGTGTCAGTAAGAAAGAGTTATGGTTGTTCCTCCCATAATTCAGTTGTTGTCATTTAAAGAGCACCAGTTGTGCAAATCTTTTACTTTAATGAAAGTATTGATGTTTATAAAGTTGTATTACTGATACTTAAAAAAATATGGAAAGATAAAATCTATTAAGTTGTAGAATGTAGGTTTACAATTTTCAGCAGTACCTCACAGAATATGCATTTATACTTGCTGTTAAAAAAAAAAAAAAAGCTGTATGGTTAAAACACTTTTATCAGCAGTTTGTTCTATCTGGGAGTGTCCAAGGACACAAGCAAAGCAGTATCTGGGGGCAGAAAAAGAAATGTCTTTTTCTGTATCAGCAGGAAAAAGCTGAAAAATAATTTATAAAATATCAAAACAAATTCTGAGCATTTGCATTTAACTGCCATTCAGCCTTGAAATATGCTGCTTCTATTTCTATTTAAGCCTGGAAAGAGTTTCTGACCAAATGTTGGGGTTTTTCCTCTTGGTATAATCTAGCTTGCCTAAATTATTTAATTTTCTTTTATAGGTCATTCTTATGCAAGAAGCTAAAAGTAATTAAATTTGCAGGATGAAAACATGGCACAGGCACTGCTGGTACCACCTGGACCTGAAAGCTTCCGCTATTTTACTAGAGATTCCCTCGCAGCTATTGAAAAGCGTGCTGCAGAAGAAAAAGCTAAAAAGCCCAAGCAAGAACATACAGATGATGATGATGAAAATGGTCCAAAACCAAACAGTGACTTGGAGGCAGGAAAGACACTGCCATTTATTTATGGTGACATACCTCCAGGAATGGTATCTGAACCTTTGGAAGACCTGGACCCATATTATATCAATAAAAAAGTGAGTGAACTATCTTTTTCATGAAATAGAATATAACTTTATACACTAGAAAAGTTAATCACAAAATATGATGGCTAGAACTATCAATCTGCTAGCTATCCAGAGCCATCCTTTTATTTAACAGAACTGATTTATGCCCTTCCATACTGTAACTTCTTCAATTCTGTTGAGTTACTTGCTATTTATTTCATTGTAAGGAAGATGTGTCTTCCTTGATCTTGCCTGAACTTAAGCACAGAATGAATTTTCTTTATTTCAATGTAATAGTAAGACTGGATATGACAAAAGCGATGTTCTAAGCATGGTTTTGCAAGGGAAATAGTTGTAGATAACAAGCTAGCATCCGCTCAAGTTAGTGAAATAGAGGACTGTAACCATATTGTTTGTTTCTGTATAGCTATATAACACATGCAAACATACATATGAAATATATTTATCTCTATATTTGTAGCATGTAGAGACTCTGTAAATGTAGGGTCATACAAAAATACCACAATGCAAACTATTGCTTGAGGTGCTTGGGTTTGCTATGATAGATTTCTGCTGCAGAGCTGTTATTTAGAAGTCTCTGGAAGACCATGGAAAAGCTTGTTTTTGAGGAAGGAATTAAAAAAACCACATTTCTGGTGTTCTGAAGAGTTTTCATACAGAAAGACCAGAGCAAAGAGGTCTGAAATAAAAGCAATATATCTAAGTTACATGTGTGAATGCAACACATGCAGGCTCCTAAAAGAGATGCATTTTCCCTTCCAATTTGCACAACCATACACAGTGTTCCTTTTCATATGATCCCCAAGTCAGGGACTAGGAGATAGAAAAGGTAGTTCAAACAGACTCATTCAAGTAAAAAGTTTGACTTTTTACAAGTCATTTCTGCAGTAGAGTGTATTGGTTTTGGTCTTGTAGCAATGATGCATGCAGCTGGAAATGGACGGGTGTTATTTGAGTTAAGAGAAAGACAAGGAAAAAAACGAGCATATTTCCATAGCTGGGATTAGTTGTAGACTGTTTTAAAATCCTCCAGTGTCTGAAATAATCCAACCTGGGAACAAGTAAAAGTACCTTAGTCCTGCACTGATCAGTGAAAGTACAGGTAGCAATAAGAGCCAGTTTTCCTCTATGCTCTTGTTTATTTCTGTATGCTCCTTTAGCAGCATCAAGATGTTCTCTCAGTTTCTGATAGACTGCAAAGTGTTGTGGATCAGGAGAATGAATGAAGATGGATAACACCCCTAAATTAAAAAATGCAGAAGGTGTTTTATGGAGGAGTACTTGGGACTATCTTTTCCTATCTCTCTGAAATAGAAAGAACTGGACACAGTTGCTCTGTTGATGGCTTGAAGCATTCCAGGCTGTCATCAAGATAAGAAATTTGATCTTCAGCCACTAAAAAATCAAGGCATAAAATACTTTAAACTCCAAAGAAACTTTGTTTGCTAGATAAAAATCATGCAAATAATACTGTCACTTTTGTGGCTGAATTTGTGGTTGCCTTTGGTTTGTAAAACAGGTTTAAAAATTATGGCCTCAGTAATGGGAACAGAAAAGAAAGAATCTGTATGTAACTGCATAACCTAACAGTTGGCAAAGTTAAATAAACAGTGCTGTAGATAATACAAGTATATACATTATTAAGGAAATGTAAAGAAATTAAAGTTCAAAGAAGTAGCGTTAAGTCAAGGGTTATTTAAATTTATATGGTTTGGGTTATAACAACAGTTCCATGGAAATTCTTAGAATATATATTCTTAGAATATAAACCTCTTTCTTGACTAGCTGCAAAGCTTCCAGAATAAAGTTGCATAAGTAAGTTCAGGGATAAAAGTTGTCTGAACAAGTGAAGTTTCAGAAAGCCTGAGAAGTTCTGAACTATAGTTTCTAACCTCCATTGATCAGAAAAAGTAGTCAGATTTTTTGGAACAAAGGTGTAAAAGCTCACACTAATGATGGATTTCTTAGTATCTGAGAACAATTAGTGAACTGCAGGATCTTTAGTCACAGGTGACATCTGTGTTTATATTACCTAGCAGCATAATTATGCTCAACAGAAAACAAATGGACATCTTAAATCATGGACTAAAATTAGTCATCCCTCCTCTGGTATATAGTAGAAACTACCCTTAATCATTGACTTGTCAGTGCAGAGGAAATCATATGTGAATTTAGTCTGTCTTCAGGCTCAGCAGTGACCTTGGGACAGGCAACATCTTTCTAGCATTTCCAGCTGGGTGAAGGACTGTAGGGCAGGGAGAAATGCCAAGGAGTGTGTGTCCCTCCTCTGCCACCCTCAATGTTAGCTGGATCTTTTTCTGTGAGCAGGCACCAGCAACACTCCTTTACCCATTTTCTTCCCCGCCGTGGAGTTGTTTGCTTTCCTTCCCTGAGATTACTGTCCAAGTAGGCAGTAAAGGCCACAGAGAGGGCAGAATTTTTCTGATCACAGCCGAGTTTTTACAGAGAATGGAAATCAACATGGAGAACAGTGATACTTTATAGCTCTGCTGAGAGTGTCACAAAGACTCTCTTATGTTAACACAAAGCAGAACCATTACCATCAACAACGAGCAAAAGGAATGAAGAATAGTTATGTCCTGAAGAAATTTCAAGCAGCACCATAGATGCAAGTAAACCTCATTCACAGACAAATACACTTAGGCAACGACTGCCCACAGAAGCAGAATAAACTGAACACAAACCATAGGTTTCTTGGACCAAGTTTTAAAAGATAATCACTAGCTCAATTTTCTGCTCACATATAGGAGAAGTAAGAGCACATTGTTAACAAGAAAACCAGCAATTAAAAAAAAAAAATTGTTGTGATATAATGCCAAATCGTGGCATCTGTTTGTCTTGCATTGCTCAGAGCTATGTTAGCTGGCAATATATTAATAAATTTAATTTTTTCACATGTATATATATAAGATGTATATAATTGATATTGATAGTATCTAAAATAGAAAATGAAAGCAAAATTATCTTTAAATTGTGGTTGATTTTGTAATGACAATTTCTTCTTGTCACTATACATATGTGTGTATATAATTTTGTCAAGTATTTGTTCCAAATACAAACTGGCATTAGAATTGTCCTTTTGCTATTTTGGTTTTGTTTGTGTGTGCTTACAAGGTGGAATACATTTGATAAATTTGAATCACTTTAATTAAAGACTTCATAAGAAATAAAATTTAAATATTTTAGTGGCAAAATTCTGCATTTTGCTTTTATTGATAAACTGCTGTTGTTTTTTGTAATTCCCACCAGTTTTAATTACATCACAATTCAGTCCACATGCTGGAAAATTTTGCAAATTTGAGAATTGGCTGTGGAAAACTTACTCCATTGTATTAATAGAAATCAGGTTTTTTTGTACCATGGGTAGACAGTAGAAAGGAACTTGTACCTGTCAGGTGGAGAATGGAAACTTTTAGTAGGAGGTGTATATGTAGCCAACACTGTATTTTAATTTTGCATTTCTTTTTTGCAGACTTTCATAGTATTGAATAAGGGAAAAGCAATTTTCCGATTCAGTGCCACGTCTGCCTTGTATATTCTAACTCCTTTTAATCCCATCAGAAAAATTGCTATCAAGATTTTGGTACATTCATATCCTTTTTTCCTAATGTTGATTTAAGTGTTGCTATTTAAAAATACTTAATGACTGAAATAATACTTTTCATGTGGATGTACAAATTGTGTCCATAGGAGTGAAGTATGCTAAAAATATGTATGTTGCTCACATTTTAAAAAAAGAGCAATATCACATGTGGATTGGAGTATGATCTTCATCCCTGCCGAGAGAATTCTCTACTGAACCACCTAAATCTGTCAGAGTTTAAATATCAGGCTTTATATCTAAAAGGAGACCTAATCCCATACTAAGCCCTGCAGCTAAGGCCACATTAGTAACAAACCATTGCACTTGAACATATCTAAGGTCACACTTTTAGCAAGACCAGTAGTACTATTCATGAACTAGACTCACTTTGCAAGGACAAAAGAGCATGGGTAAAGAGCAGGTTTTTCGGCATTGTGTTTTCAGCATTGGGATAGGTGTCCTATAAAAGATTTGGGATAAAGGAGAGTATTTTCAAATATACTTCAATCATGTTCAAAGAAAAACTCAGGCCTAAACAAACCAACCTCTGACTAAAGATCTTTTAGAGTGATCCACCTGTATTAACTGAGTACATTTGGGTAGTCATTTCATGATTTACAGTTAAAGATATGTTTAAACTTCCTTTAAAACCTGCTATAATTACGAAACTATTGCATTTTTTATGGAAGCGCACTATAATATGCCAGATGACATACCATTTAAAAGACATAAAATTATGTGCAAAGATTTGTTTGTAGGCTTTAATTAGCGTGTCATGTTATTTGTACACATTTGTAAACACTTAATATTTTAAAGTTATTTTAGTGTTATAAAGCTGTCCTATTTTTTTGACTTTGTGCCTTAACTATAACCTACATTATTCAGCATGCTTATCATGTGCACTATTTTGACCAACTGCGTATTTATGACCATGAGTAACCCTCCAGACTGGACAAAGAATGTAGAGTAAGTTAAACATTTTTTCTTCTTTATTTTAATGTCTTTGTTTTTGTGTGACTCCAAACAAGAAGCATTTATTAAAATGCAAATGCCAGAATGGGCTTGTGCAGAGTCAGGAAGAATCAGATTCCATGAGATCATCAATATCTTTCCCCTTTCCTCCTGAACAATTTAAATGGTTTGAGAGTAACACCATGTTTGTTAAAATTATGCCTGAGGAATATCTGAACTTCTGCTGTGTAGTAAAAACAGCAGCTCTTGTCCTTGGATATTCTGAGCTGTAAATCAGATAGGGATCTACAGACGTGCATGTAAAATTGTGCATGTAAAATTGTTCCCATACCTTGCTTGAGTATCCACAATGTCATCACAGTGGGACTTTTATCATGCCTTACTGGTTTGACCTCATAAGTGCCTGCCACAATAAGGACACACAAGCCACAAACCACAAGAAACTCAAATTGCCAAGGAAAGGGCCATAGCTATGAAAGAGCAACAAAGAACTGACCTAAATAAGGAATATTTATCTTTCTTGTTCATGGTTAAAAAGGCATGCTTATTCCTTAACAAAATACAGATATGTTTTCCTCTGAAGTACTGTAGAATCATAGAATGGTTTGGGTTGGAAGGGATCTTAGAGATCCTTCCCTGCCAGTTCCAAGCCCCTGGCATGCAGGGACACCCTTCCACTAGGTCATGTTCCTCAAAGCCCTTTATGTTTTTATTTGAAATAATACTACTCATGAAAAAACTTCTAATCACTTGTTGCTTCTTTCAATCCTTCCTTTTCTCAAAGAGCCATTACTGGTTTTTATTTATTTATTTCTCTGCACTAATGAACCTTACACGGAACCCTGTTTAGAAACCACTCCCATTAACCCATTCCCAGTTAACAGTGATGATAGCTTGTTAAAGTTGCAGAGTCTGAAAGGAGAGCAGTAGGGTCTGTAGGTAGAGTTCCTTTATTCTGGAGGTCCACAGAGATCCATGTGGGTCTCAGGAAGTGCTTGCATTATGCTGGTTATAGCTGACTATTCTATGTTGTTAAATGAATAGCTGTTCCCACACCAGGTAAGCTGGTAATCGTGCTCCCCATCTTTGAGAATAACAGTCTGGGCATGATTTCTTATATTTGATGATTATTTATGAAATAAACATGTAATACAGGCATTAGTATAGTTATTATCCAGAACTGACTTTTACAAAACTCTCTGATTTAGACATAAAAAAATTCTTTCATTTTTGTAACACTTAGACATCTACCTGGTTTATGAATGCAAGCAAAGAGGCAACCCTGTGAGTGCTAAAGAATGTACATATAAATATCAAAGTCTGAAATGTTTCCATAAATAGTAGAATCAGAAATTATTTGTAAGTACAAGAACTGAGATTAAACCAACCTTTTAGAAAATAAGTAGCATATATATCAGGTTCAAATTTCAACAAAGACTGAACAGCAATTACAATATTTAGGGCAAGTGAAGTTAATAATTTGCTCTTTTCACTTCTAAATACTTTTTCTTCTTTTTTAAGTCATCTTTGCTAAAGAATGGCACTGTCTGTAAGTATGCAAAAATCCATTATTCCTGCTCTGATGATTTTCAGGTACACTTTCACTGGAATTTATACCTTTGAATCACTTATCAAAATTCTTGCAAGGGGCTTCTGCTTAGAAGGTTTTACGTTTCTGCGAGACCCATGGAACTGGCTTGACTTCAGTGTCATTTTAATGGCGTAAGTGGTACAACAACTTTTTAAGCTTTTAGGGCATGAAATTAGTGGTAAATATTATTGTAATAAATGTATTTACTTAAACATATTTAATTTTTGCAACCTTTGAAGCTTAGACACTGTATAACACTTTTTAGTATTCATAAATCAAAGTAAAATATGGCAGAAGCCGAAATGGAGTGTCAGCCACTGGTGTAATTACTGCTGAGGGACACTAATTTCATGGCCTACATTTTTCTGCTGACCAGAAATGAAGCCATCCCTTTGACTTCATGTTACCGTCCCATTACAAGCTAATTAGTTTAACTAGATGTTCAAATACAAATCAGTGAGTTTCACTCCAATGACTTAAGCAAAATTGATGAAAAAAATTATTAAAGTGAAATGTACTGAAGAGACAGGTAAATTTTGAAATATGATTGCTAGTATTGCCACAGAGGTTATGAAGACCCACATAATTAGTATAAGCTCTGCCTAAATTCTGAATAACTGTGATTTAATCCTACAGGTATGTAACAGAATTTGTAAACCTAGGCAATGTTTCAGCTCTTCGAACTTTCAGAGTATTGAGAGCTTTGAAAACTATTTCTGTAATTCCAGGTAAGAAGTAGTTGGTGTAAGGTGTTAGGCCCCTCGTATCTCCAACTGTTATTTGTGTGCTGTCATTGTGTTTGTGTGTGAACTCCCCTATTACAGATATGTGACAGAGTTTGTGGACCTGGGCAATGTCTCAGCGTTGAGAACATTCAGAGTTCTCCGAGCTTTGAAAACAATATCAGTCATTCCAGGTGAGAGCGAGGTTAAACACCGAGGCTGACTTTCGTTCCATTGAATTCGCTGCCTTTGAGCATAAGTCTTGCTGTTTGCTGCTCATGTTGCAAAAAAAATATATAAAAAGAAATAAAAAGGCATGGATCATTAACCTAGTTTATGATTCTTTGCCTTTTCAGCATTAGCTTCTTTTATTTTGCAAAATCAGCCTTTGAGTTTAACAGTCTTGCATGAAACACAAAATATGAGGCCTATGGGTTATTTTGCTTTGTTTTTCTGCATTTTATTGTGACAAATTGCCTCTACATTACAAAAGCTTAGTTCTATGGCATCCTTGGTTTTGAAATTTTTCCTTTTTTTGGCACTTAAAATTTACATTTGTCTTAAAAATAAGCAAGTAACAACAAAAGAAGATACTAAAAAGGAAATAAATTATGCACAGGAAAATTTATCAAATGCAAACTATTTTTTCATTCAAAATCACTAGCAATTCTATCTCATGCTGCTTTGCATTGTTGTGAAGTCATGTTTAGAATTAACTGGAAACTGAATTATTGGTAGAATTTTTAATGCAGAGAAAAATTAGTAAATGCAATCAATTCTGTACTAGGAAAGCATGATTGATAAAGTTTCCTGCTTGAGAATATTATATATTCGATTTATTGGAATATATGTATATTGCACATTCATAAAAAGGAATCTTTTTCTTTCATTCATCTTCACAAGCTCTGAGGCTGCTCATGAAGCTTTACCTTTTGAGAAATAAAAAATAATTTATTTTTAAGTGTCTGCATGGCCTCTTAATTATATGGGAAGGGCAAAGACACTCTTTGATAACTTTATCGATCTTTTCTCTTTGCAGGCCTGAAGACTATAGTAGGAGCCCTGATTCAGTCTGTGAAGAAGCTCTCGGATGTGATGATCCTGACTGTGTTTTGTCTGAGTGTATTTGCACTGATAGGGCTGCAGCTGTTCATGGGCAACCTGAGGAATAAATGCCTGCAGTGGCCTCCAGACAATTCTACTTTTGAGATAAATGTTATTTCGTACTTTAACAGCACAATGAATGAAAATGGTACTTTTGTTAACATGACAGTGAGCACGTTTAACTGGAAGGATTACATTGAAGATGAAAGTAAGAATGTCTGATATAACTATTTTAATATATTTGTGGCAAAAATATGTAATTATTTATGACCAAGTAAAGAACATTGAGGGATTTATATTTCTGACTTATGTAGAACAGTCCCTGATTTACAAAGATGAAATACATCCAATAAAAATACAACAACCAGAAAGGTTCCTAAACAAACTACAAAGGGATCAGTAGCTAGCCACTATGATTTAACACAATTTATTTTTATTTTACTTTGTATTGCTTTCAGGTTTATTTGATCTATTAATATATATTTCTAATGCTTTCTACACAGCTCATTTTTACATTTTGGAAGGACAAAGAGATGCCCTACTTTGTGGTAATAGCTCTGATGCAGGGTAAGACCCTTTCAAACATTCTATGTTATGCTCTGTAGAAAAAGAATTAACATGAGATCTAGTTGCAACTCCATATTTAGCAGGGTTACAGAACTTTTGGAATTTTGCAGCTAAGTGAGAATTTCTTACTGAAGTCAAAATGTTTTACACTCTGGCTGAATGAAATAGCAATTAACAGCCTTTTTCCTGCTTGATTTGAAAATGAAGTTGGTTTCATTAATAAGATCTGAATTTTTTTTAAGTCTCCTTTGATGATTTACTGATTGAAGAAAGTAGGAGGAAACAAAAGTTAAAAGTGAGAAAGAGAACATGGAAAATATTAAGAAAGCACAGCAGTAACTTCATAGTTCAAGACTGAATCTGTTTTTTCAAGTCTAACTCTTTCACTTCTAGCAAATTCTGCCATTCACATGTGCCAAATTATAAGCCTAGAATTGTTAGCTCAACTTGGATGCCTGACTGGCAGCAGTGAAGAGGTTTACTAAAAACATATTTATCAGTAATATAAGGGAAATCCCTAGTACTACAATTGGATTTAGCTGATAATATTTTTTAATCTGTCTGTAACCTTAACAACATTTAGCAATTATTTCTGCCAGGAAGTAATTAATTTGGAATAAAGATCCTATTTGCAAAATGTAATTGAGGAGAATTTTAATATTTAGGTAATTTCAGTCAGTGAGTGCATGAAAGATATCTTTTGTTTGCTATGTTATTAGTTAAATTCTTGGGAATTTTTTTCTGAATTAATTTAATTATAATTAATGGATTTTCTGACGAAAAATAATGCATATTCTTCCGAAAGATAATACATATTTTCTAGAAGGGAATAAAAATTTTGACTAAGTTCTCATGTTTGATTTTCACATAGGCAATGCCCAGAAGGATATATATGTGTGAAAGCTGGCAGAAATCCCAACTATGGCTACACAAGTTTTGACACCTTCAGTTGGGCTTTTTTGTCCCTGTTTCGGCTAATGACTCAGGACTTCTGGGAAAACCTCTATCAGCTGGTAAGAAATTATTATGACATAAATAGTACACTGTTGGCCATGTCCAGAAGTACATAAATAGGCTTATCATTGCATAAGCTGAAAAAGATAAGTTGTGGGATAATATATAAATATGCTTTCTACTCCCTAGACACTGCGTGCTGCTGGGAAGACATACATGATATTTTTTGTTCTGGTGATTTTCCTGGGTTCTTTCTATCTAATTAACTTGATCCTGGCTGTGGTTGCCATGGCCTATGAAGAACAGAACCAAGCAACAATGGAAGAAGCAGAGCAGAAAGAGGCAGAATTTCAGCAGATGCTGGAACAGCTGAAGAAGCAACAGGAAGAAGCTCAGGTAATATAGGAAATTGTACTTTCTGAACAACCTTGTTCTTAGGGCAAGGAAAAAATATTTTATGAATAAGAACACAAACAAATTGTGCAATGAATTTCAGAAAATAAAAAGTCTTGTTTTCCATGCAAGTTATAAAAGTGGAAATAGCCAATGAAAACCAGGAACTGTCCAAATAGTAAAAAAAGCAAGCTAATGGTACAGAAAAGAATTTTACTTCATTCACCAAAAGACTGTAAAAGTAAAATGTTTTTCATAAGAGGCTCCAGGAATCTGATTTAAGTAGTCATAAATAATGGTCTTTTATGTTACATATCTTATAAATAGCATGAAAAAAGTCTAGTGATGTTACTTCTGGTTTACATCTGAGTTAAAATTGCCAAGCTTGATGTACTTAATAATTGTCCCCAAATATTCATCAAATAAAGAGAAGAATTATAATCAGTGTTCTTCTCAGTTTCCATCCAGCAAAATAATGTAAAATATCCCTAACTGACACTATAGTAAATCAGAAGTTTATGTATTCTTAGAACAGACAAGCAATATTCAAAACCAGATGAGCAATATTCATAACAAAGATATTCCTTCAGAATTCTTTTAAAGTAATCTTTGTTTCCTTTGAAAAGAGAATAAAATTATTTAAAGTTGTATGAGAAAAGGCATTTTAATAGATGCTTTTGTGAAAGCTTTTATCTGAAAATAAAATATATGCAGGAGTCCAGGTCTGTGAGTCAGCCATCTGTCTAATTTCTGGACTGATTTTCAACTGCTTTTCAAATGGCATTTAGTCATTTCCAACAGGACAGTGTTTATAAAATGCTAGCAAATTTGAAACTCCTATGAAACTCTATTTTTGTCTTACTTTACAGGTACTTTCACCGAGTTAGAATGACTCGGTAAAGTGCTAACAAAAAGACAAACTCTCTGTCTTTTGCTTGAAAAGAAACCTTTATGTATGACTTGTGAAATCTCATTAGCATATCTTTATTTTAGTCATTAAACTTTATCCTTTCCAAATTACTAAAGAAAGAGTAGAATCCTGCAAAAATGAAATTTAGAAAGGTTGAATGTCAGCAAAGTGTATATTGCTGGGTTTGTCTTAAATCTGGTGTTTTAATGACTTAAAGCCACTAAATCACATTATACTAAAAGATATCAGCAGGCTCATCTAGATGTTTGTGTATCTACGAGTGGGGGAAAATGAAGCTCATCCAGACTTAGAAAGAATAAAATAAGAAACAGACACTATAAGTAAGGTTGAATAAAGACCCTGAAAGTCATATTTTTTTTCAAATGAGCAACCACTACATTCATTATAAGTAAAGTATTATTAGAGTCAGGATCTCTTTTGTTTGTGAAAACATTAGCAGAAAGTAGGCAGTACAAGGTGGATCACTGAAGTGTTGAATTAGTGGCTAAGGCAGAAATTAGTTTGGGACTCATCTCTTTATCCCCTTGACACTGAAGTTATTCATACACAAACTTAAGTCATCACAGTGGTCTTTGAATTGCTCCACTTGTTTACCTTTACTGCTGGTACTATGAAGTAGATGGGTGATGACTCAGCATCTGCTGCTTTGTTTCTGTTACAGTCTTTGAAGGATGGTATTCTGGAACCAGTATGACAAAATTTTGAGTATTGCTTTTTTATTTTATAAACACTTCAGAATCCTTTTAATACGCCATTTAGCACAAAAAGTCTGTATCAAGTCAACTTGTATAGCATGGGTTGTATATTGTGGCAAAGAAAGAAATTAATTCATACTATGAGCTTTGAAACTATCCTTTCCTGCTGTAAAGAGATATGTCATCATTCCTGAAATACTTGGCATTGAATATAATATGTTTTGCTGGATAATTACTAGTCATCTTTGTTATATAAGCCTAGTCTCTTGCCATTTATCACACCACCCATTTTTGTAAGCTACGAGCAGTCTACCATCTCCCTAAAGATCTTTCCACTACAGATTTTCATTGCAATCTCCCACAGTTCTTTTGAGGAACAGCACTGGACATACTCTCAATTCTTCTTTTTTTCATGATTAAAAGAACCTTTCTCTAACAAACCAAAAGTAGGCTGACCACTGTAGTTAAAGATACTGGTCCTGAGTTTTTGGGATGACTCTGCTCCAGTAAGTCATCTCATCCCTTTCCACAGAGAAGAAATCTAAACTTATTTTCTTCTCACAGACTGTAACATGAACTGGAAATAAATGTATCTTTGCATATTTGTAAGAAATACCTAGAGTGCAGATACAGTGGGACATGTAGAGGGAAAATGTGAACAGGAGGAAGGACTTGAAAATGTGTCTAGAGGTTATGCCTGGTACCAGCAAAGGCAGAAGGAAAGTAAAGAGTGTTCTTGCTGTGAAGACAGTGAGGAAAGGCTGGATTCAACTGCTTTCAGGGTGCTAGATGGATTTGATACATTAACTCACAGGATGAACGTTAGGCATTAGTTTTGTCTGTATGAGCTCAGAAGGCATCAGCTGAATTAGACCATGATGTGGGACTTTTCTCAAGAGAAAATGGAATAACAGGTCCTAAATACATGAAAAAGCACTATGTTAACACTTTTCTGGCTCCTTTTATTTCAGACAAGTGTTTTGTTCTGCAATTCTTTAACAAATAGTGTAGCTATTGTTCTGCCAAAGTTTGTGCTTCAAATAACTCATGCTGCAAAACAGTGAGGAGCTGTATAACTCAGTAATTTATCTTCAGTACCATTTGTTTGGGTATATTTTCACACTGAAGAGTGTGTGAAGAGCATTATTATCACAGTGATAATAAAAACCAGTTGATGAAAGACTATAAAATTATTATTTTTGGCCTACTATGAATACCTTGCTTTATAACCTGACAGACAACAGCAGCAGTAGCAGCGGCATCAGTTGCATCAAGAGATTTCAGTGGTGTAGGGGGATTAGGAGAGCTCCTGGAAAGCTCTTCAGAAGCATCAAAGTTGAGCTCAAAGAGTGCTAAAGAAAGAAGAAACAGAAGAAAGAAAAGAAGGCAGAAAGAAATGTCTGAAGCAGAGGACAAAGGAGATATTGATAAGTTCCCGAAGTCTGAGTCAGAAGACAGCATCAGAAGGAAAAGTTTCCGCTTCTCCACAGAAGGAAGTCAACTGACATATGAAAAAAGGCTCACTTCTCCTCACCAGGTACCTCACTCTATTTTACTAAATCATGTGTGTCCTCTCCACTCTTATTTTCACTGATATTACAGCAAGTTTACAGATTGGAAGTTATGTAAATGGTAAGGGAAGGAAAAATGAGTGATAGGACCATTCACAGTGTAAGTTTGAGATGGTTTGACCCATTCTATTAGCAAAGGGATGAAAACAACATACCAAGAATACTGATAAACTTAATTAACACATTCCTGAAAATGTACTTCTGAGAATGTGTCTAGTAGACTGGAAAAAGAAAGGTTAGTATTCATATATATGCATTAATGAACTGTACATTTTCTGTTCTGGATCCATTTCAAAACTATACAAATATGTAGGGTTTTTAGCAGACTGCAACATTAAAATGCTCTGCACAGGAAATCCCACATTACCATTAATTTCTATGATTTTAATTAATTAGCTTCTTTAATGCGAAGATAATGAGAAGACTAGCACTAGTACTGCACAATAAGGACAAACTAGACAGGGATCTTTTGGGCCTGTATGTGTAGCAATTTAGTCATACCATTCTTTTTCATTAGAAATAATGATGAAGAATCATTTCCATCACAGGAAAACAAGTAGTTTATGAAGGACCTCTGGAAATCATTTAATACAAAGTTCTAAGCTCTATTTGCATAAATCAAAGGGTCACTTCTGTCACCCAAGGATATCCGTCTGTATTTGGCACTGGTGAGGCCACCTGTGTCCAGTCCTGGGTCCCTCAGTATAAGATAGTCATGGAAGTGCTGGAGCAGGCCCAGAACAGGGCTGGTGAAGGTCTAGAGAGTGAGTTATATGAGAAGAAGCTGAGGAAGCTGAGGGTGTTTAACCTGGAAAAGAAAAGTCTCAGGGGTGCCTTATCACTCTACAACTCCATGAAAGATTGTGACTGGGTGGAGGTCAGCCTCTTCTCCCAGGCAACCAGTGACAGGATAAGAGGAAATAGCCTCAAGATGGCCAGGGGAATTTGAGGTTGGACATCAGGAGGAATTCCTTCATGGAGAGGATTGTAAAAAATCGGAATGGACTACTCAGGGAGGTGGTGGAGTCAGTGTCCTTTGAAGTGTTCAAGAAATGACTGGACATAGCATTCAGTGCCAGGGTTTAGTTGACAAGGTGATGATCAGTCAAAAGGTTGGGCTTGATGATCTTGGAGGTCTTTTCCAGCGGAAATGATTCGGTACTATCTTTGCTTATTTCAAGGCTACACACAGTTATTACATTTTTAGAAAAAAGCATTCAAAATGCATCTCTTCAGAATGATAATGTGTGGTCCGAGCCGAGATGGCTTTTACCTATGAATACTACCCAGGTTAGGAATACTTCATTAAAGATGCTTTTGACAGGTTGATTTTGTTTTTGTTTTTTGGGGTGGTTTTTGTTTGTTTGTTTGTTTGTTTTTGTTTTTTTGCAGTTGTAACAAAGCTTTGGGGCAAAAGTTGACAGCATACAACTAAAACTTTTGTGCCCCAAGAGCAAAAGAATTGCAAACAGTAGAAATGGTAAAGGAAGAGCTCATTTGTTTTGTTAGCCATGGAGAATCTCCCTGGTGAGACAGGGTCCAGAGCATGAAACAGCGAGGCAGAATGGTAAGGGGAGATAATCTGCTCAGCTGGGCCCTGTAAGAGGTTTTGTCCTTTGATACCACATTCCATATGCAGATGAATGATGCAGTTTGCCAGAAAAGTCAAACCTTCCTTTCAGTCTTTACTTTCTGATAGCATGTAGACATATATTTCTGCCTCTACATGTGTTAGAATTGCAGCCATTTTGGCTTATATCTTTTGTCTCAATGCAGCAGGGACTTGCAGAATAGACATTACTTCTCCCAAATCCCTGAGGGGACTGATCCAATTAGCTGTACTCAAAATGTGGCAACGAATATTGGAAAGATTGGCCTGCAAATAAAACATAGCAGCCATGGGAACATTCTCTAAAAGAACAAGGCTATCACTGGTAGTCAGATGAAACCCTGGTGAACATGTCGTTTTTTGAAGGACTGTATTTTGCCCAGATATATTTATAAGGAAATGTAAAAAGGGTGTAGTAATTAGTTTACTGCTTTGTCAGAATTCAGTGTCATGTTCCATAGAAGCTAGAGGTTTTACTTGATAAAATTATCTTTCAGTATAAGCAAAACAGCACTTTTCCTCCAGCCAAGTTTACATAAATGGGTTAGCAAAATAATTTGACTGGTATTTTTCAAGTAACTCAGCCTGAGGCTGACAGCCAGCATAGAAAATTTCAGCCCAAACTATTAAAATTTGGTGTAGCTGTAAGAGCAGGAAAAAATACATCTTGTAATGGTAAACACCTGCCAGACCTTATAACAGGCAGTTCTACCAGTGCAGCACACACATAATGTGTGAATTTATACATCTGACTATGCATATACAGAGATATACATGGGTTGATATATGTATAAATGCAGTGTTTGATTTTTGAAGTATTAACATAGGTTTGTATAATATAGGACAGTTTTCACTTTCACTTTAATTATCCTGAGATCAAACATAGGATTGCTATTACATATGAGGACTTTCCACCTGCAGAAATAGTGGAAAAAGTGACAATAGTCTCAAACCAGGTTTTTGATGAACCAAGATGTGAAGATTTGCAAAAATGCAGAACTGAAGAAGGCTGAATGCCAGTTTACTTTTCTCCACAATTAGTACTGATTTTATTTATTCATGAATGCTGTTAATAAAATATGTAGCAAGAGAGAAGAACACTTCATTAACTGGCTTCTACTGTAATTAAAAGATTAATTACCAACAACCACTGATTTATTTTTCTCACTTGTAACAGAATATCTTTAGGTAACTGTGTCCCTGGTGAATACTTCCTTTGAACTGCCTGATAGCAAAGTGATACTTTCTAGCAGGTGTGTTCGACCTGCTATGGCCCCCAGAGAGCTGTGCCTGAGAGTGCTGCTGCTGTACCTCCAAAGCTTCCCCAGGCTGCCCTCTCTGTCTTCTAGATACTGTTTCCCCTCTACTGAGCCTATTGGGAATGGGTCAGTCAAGTTCCTTACATCAGTTTAAAAGGATTTCAGTGGCAAACTTAAGATCACTTTTGCATCTACTAAATAAAACAGAATAGTGATTGGTGAGCATTATCAGTTCTCATCACTAGGAATCCAGGCAGTGAAGAAGTAAAAGACTTTTAGCTCCGTACTGTAACTGAAGGAATAAGAGACAAGTACCTTCAAAATCCTGATAGTGATATTGAAAACTGTCTCCAGCACAGTCCATGTCAGTTCAATGCAGTCACTCAGGACTGTTCAAAACTTGCTTATGTCTTCTGCACAACTTTTCCTCAGTACTGCTACCTTACCTTAAAAGAATTTTCCCCCTCTGCTTCAGGTTCCCTGGTGAACATGTTCCCCTAGTGGACAAATTATACTATGGAAGAAAAAAGTGACTATCTTTCCTCCAGCAATACTGTAACTATTCTTTGAAAAGCCAAGAATGTACAACTCTAGTTCTAATGTTTTGTGTGGTTTGTTTTAAATCTTTTACAGTCTTTGTTAAGCATTCGTGGTTCTCTGTTCTCACCAAGACGCAACAGCAAAACCAGCATTTTCAGTTTCAGAGGTCATGCAAAGGATATAGGATCTGAAAATGACTTTGCTGATGATGAACACAGCACTCTTGAAGACAATGAGAGCAGAAGAGATTCTCTCTTTGTTCCAAATCGACATGGAGAAAGGCGCAACAGTAACATTAGCCAGGCCAGTGTGTCGTCTAGAATTATACCAGCCCTTCCAATGAATGGGAAGATGCACAGCAGTGTGGACTGCAATGGAGTGGTTTCCTTGGTTGGAGGACCTTCAACTCTAACTTCACCTACTGGTCAGCTTATACCAGAGGTAATTGTAAGTAAGGCAGTATTTATTACAATTTGGGTCTGGCACAGACTTTGCTCTTATTCCTCATCTCTGCCTTCCTTATTATTTCTTAAAGAAATAATTTGCAATAGTTTCTAAATAATAGAACATAAAGGAAAAAACCCTCAACCTCCTGTGTCTAAGCCTTCGTAAAGTGTGATATTCTTCTTGTTTTCAGCAAAAGATCTACATATAGGAAAAAAGATTAATTGAATTTGACTTTGTATATAATGTGTATATAGTTTCACTTCAATAAAGTAGATATTCAATATATAAATAAGGCTATAGCTTGGAAGTATATATAGGAAAACTCCTATAAAATGAAACAAAAGTTGGCTACTACTCTCATGATAGTTATTAGAAATACACCATCCTGAATTCTTCTGAAGGACTTTTTTGTCATAACTTTCATGAGAAAAATATGTACAATTCCTATGTACATTTGAAATTACATAACATTTTAGTCTCAGTGTCAGACTTCTGCAAACTAAGATGTTCTTTCAGCCATTCACAGAAGCAAGACTTTTTCATCTATAGTAATTTTTTAATTAATAATAATTATTATTATTATCATTACAATTATTATCACTATTGTTATTACTATTATTACTATTATTATTATCACTACCAAGGAGGTACCAAGCAAAAATTTTGTTCAGCCAGTCATTTAAATGTGAACCACCTTTGGTCCCACACTGTGTTGGTGTTTGGTCCTGCAGTTGATTATTTGTACCACTGTACAAAATTCCCATTGAGTCCCTTCATGAAAAAAAAAAAAGAAATCCTGACAAGAACAGAAGCATTCAGTAAAAAACATAGTACATTGCACAAAGCTGATTTGATTATCACTACAATATTTATGCAGTAAATACTGTTAATTGGATGTTGAAAAGGATGGTGTAATTCCTCAGTATTTAATTTACAGGGCACCACTACAGAAACAGAAATAAGGAAAAGAAGACTGAGTTCATACCAAATTTCCATGGAAATGCTGGAAGAATCTGCTGCAAGACAAAGAGCAATGAGCATAGCCAGCATACTTACAAATACAATGGAAGGTATTTAGTGCATTTTATCTGACAGGCAGTTCAGTGAAGTTCTGCTAACTTTATGTACAGAGAAATTATTTACATAATTTTCTTTGTAAATGTAAAACTGACATGTGGAGTCTCTAAACATCAGATATAAAAAGCTTTTGAGCATTTCTAAGGTCATTTACACAATCTGAATGCTTAACCGTGTTTCATGACACCTTCTGAAATATTATGCTACTGAGTGGTCTAATAGAGATAAAATAATGGTATCTAGAGGATTGCCAGAGCCTCAAACAGAAAATATAGGGATTGGTATAAGCTTCATAAAGGATTCATGTTGACTTTTAATATCTGAAATTAAGATATCTGTTGTAAGCAAGTTAAGTAACCTAAACAAAATGTCTAGATTCTCCCTACTGTCCTGGGAAAGACAAACACATTTCTCCCTTTAAACATTTGTCTCAGATGATTTACTCTTTAGTGAATGGACTTTACTGTCCACTGGTGGTAGAGGATCTGAAATAAATTAAATGCCTTATTTAAGGTAGATAAACATGGGTGAGGGAAATCTCATGTTAGTGAGAGCAGTTTATTTGATTGACATAATCTTCTCTCATATTTTAAACAAGAACTTCCAGAAGATACATTTATAATATTCATTTTTTCTGGGTTTTTTTTCAGAGCTTGAAGAATCCAGACAGAAATGCCCACCATGCTGGTACAGATTTGCAAATACTTTCTTGATCTGGGATTGCTGGAGTCCGTGGTTAAAAGTAAAGCATGTCGTCAATTTAGTTGTGATGGATCCATTTGTTGATCTTGCTATAACTATTTGCATTGTTTTAAATACCTTATTTATGGCCATGGAACATTACCCAATGACAGAGCAGTTTAGCAGTGTCCTTTCTGTGGGGAATCTGGTAAGTAGTTTGTGATGAACTACTTAATGTAAAAATACCCTTTTCTAAAATAAGAAAATTATAAGTGTATTGTATTTGTTTAGATCTATTCCAGAATGTCTTTTTATAAAAAGTTTAGATTTGGTATTTATGATTTTCACAGGTAAAATGATTTTTTTACTGGAGCCTTTATCTTTTATGAATATATGTTTTTAACTACTGTAATGGAATAACTGAATATGTGTGGAAGTGCAGTCTTCACTGGAATGCCAGATTGCTTGACATCTACCTTGGGTTTTTTCTTTTAAACATTAAGGTAGATTATGTTATTTTTACCATGGTACTGATATAACATCACAGAAAATACTTCAGTACAAAATTGATAAAATATTCAAAGTCAGAATTTCTCTTGGAATTTTTTTCAAATACGCTCCAGTGAAAATACTTTTACAAAAAATGTATGCTCCCAACCTTTTTGTTTTGCTGCACAAACCACTGATCACTACGCACTGCAAGAAAGTGTTGAGTTAAATTCTGGACTTGGAAACACCAAGATGCATTGATAATTTCACATTTGGCAGCAGGTATTTCAAATAACATTATGACCCTGAAGTTCATTTTCCTAAAAGGAAATAGCCGTCATACAACATGGTAAACTATGTGTGAAATTCTATATTCTTACAAAAAGCATGGGACAAGAAACTCCAACTTCCCCTGTCTACAAGACAGACTTCAGAGAGTCTGAGCTTAGGCAGTCTGACATTAGAGACTATCATCTCTTTAGACTCTAAGCTAGGAAAATACTTGCTGTCAAGTCTTCTTACTGGAACCATCCTCATCAAACAGGACTTAAAACACCAGATCACATCACATCATCTGCTGGGTGGATAGTCCAGCACATACCACGGAGCTGAACTGCTGACTGGTCAATAGGTTTTTATATGTTTATTTAATCTCTGTCTCACTATAAATGCTGATTTAGTTACTTGTTTTCAGTGTTTAGAAATACTTAGATGTCATTTGGAGATAGCAATCAGTTGGTTTTTATAGTAAGAGGTAAGAGAATTCATTGGATTTTTAAAAAAATCCTCAGGTATATAAATTTCTCATAACAATTCATTACATTTTGTTTTAGGTATTCACTGGGATATTTACAGCAGAAATGGTACTAAAGATTATTGCCATGGACCCTTATTATTATTTCCAAGAAGGCTGGAATATTTTTGATGGTATTATCGTTAGCCTTAGTTTAATGGAGCTTGGTCTTGCAAATGTTGAAGGATTATCTGTTCTTCGGTCTTTCAGATTGGTAAATACCTTGATAATTAAATATTTGCATGCAGTTATCTCACTAAAAATATAAAAGTGATGGTGCCTGCAATAATTACCATATTTTGTAAATATATATTACATACTTCAATGACACTTTTTTTTTCATATGTGCCTAATTTGCAAGCCATGTTTGGTAAGTTCAAATTTAAGGTGATTGATACCTTTTAGTATCAAATTATCCTATTGATCTTCTATCCAACTGATATCCTTTGCCAACATAACACTAATTGCTACCTTATTAAGAATTTTGTGAATCTTTATACTGATTTCATTAAGAATAATAAAAGCTGAATATCTGTGAAAACATACATATCACAAATACACAGCACAAATAATCATAACATTTTTAGTCTTTATATTGTGAACACTACTTTGTGGTACTTGTAAGGAACTTAAACAGATCCTCTCTTCACATTTATTTTAATGCACACCAACAATAAACTTTTAGTCACTCCATTACGTAGAACAGAATCATAACAAGCTGACTTTAAGATAACATTTAAATTGAAATATTATTGAGCTTCTACTAGAATTGTATTTTTATAGCAACTGGTATTGTGCACAAACTAGCTTATAAATATCTTTACTAGAGGTACAAGAGTAATGATTTAAAAACCTTTACTACCAATAGTTACCACATTACTTGAAAATCTCATCTCCTAATACACAGACCAGGAAGAACTGACTTATTTAGCACTATGTGCAATGGTACCCAACTTCACATAACCTAATACTTTGGGTAATGAATATTACTTTTAAGTTAATGCTTACGATTTGAATGGACATGCAATGTCTGCATCAAGTTTTTGCTTAAATAATTGGCCTCTATCTAAGCATGGAAGGCCTAATGTGGTTCTGAGGGAATGTGGAACTAAGCCAGCATAGGCATAGTGACGGTGATGAAAAGTATAGAAACTTCTAAAATGTCTTTAAGAATTGCTCAAGAATCACCTGCAAGTGGATGTTTAAAAATAGTAAAATAAAACCACAAATTATTACTTTTTTTACTATGTGCATCACTGAAATGAAATTATAAACAATGCATTTTTGACAAATACTCCATGTTCCCTGCTTTAAATAAAAATAATAATGTGGTACTACTGAAGAACGAATTAATCTACAGAAATTCATATGGTCTGTTAAACAACTTGGACCTAGCTTCTATTTTGTAACTAACGCTAAAGGTTCATCTGCATTTTTGTTTTACAGCTTCGAGTTTTCAAACTGGCAAAATCTTGGCCAACTCTAAATATGCTGATTAAGATTATTGGCAACTCAGTGGGGGCTCTGGGGAATCTGACCCTGGTGCTGGCCATCATCGTGTTCATTTTCGCTGTGGTTGGGATGCAGCTCTTTGGGAAGAGCTACAAGGAATGTGTCTGCAAGATCTCCAGTGACTGTGAACTTCCTCGTTGGCACATGCACGACTTTTTCCACTCCTTCCTGATTGTATTCCGAGTGCTGTGTGGAGAATGGATAGAAACCATGTGGGACTGCATGGAGGTTGCAGGCCAAACCATGTGCCTTATTGTTTTCATGCTAGTCATGGTGATTGGAAACCTAGTGGTACGTGATGAACTTTTTTTTTAACATTAACTCTGATCCAGATGTGCATGACTTACAGCTAGACAATGAAAATGTTTGTCATCCTTCTGTTTAGAATTTAAAAATTAATCTGAATGTCCTAATTTTGGGTAAAAACATTTGAAGAGTCCCTTTTCCTCTTTTTCATACATTTCTATACACTGAAGTACTCTTACTATGGGTACAAGCATTTAGAAGGAAACCAAAATGTCAACTTCAACATCCTATCATGGGAGTGTTGCAGCTAATTTAGAGATGATGTTTAATTTTTAGTACTGAACTTTCAGGGTTGTTTGCATATAAAAAACAAAAATGAAACCCAGAGTGATTTGTCATCCAGCTCAAAAAGGCTTTAAAAAGCTTCTAACTCAAGATTGTACAAGAAATCTTTATAGAAAAGTTTAAATTCAAGCTGACAACATAAAATGCAAAATTCCAATTGGAAAATATTGAATTAATCAGAACTTCCTAGAAGTGTTATAAGAGGGATGTACCATTTACACTTCTACTTTAAGTTTCTTCTCCTGTTAAAATTTGCAGTCAAAATTTCCTGTCTAAATTCTCTTCCTTTAATGATATTTTAAACATGATTTAAATTTTTATAAAATAGAATTCAAAATGTTTGTATCTTAGTCATTTACTTGACCTTGCAATCTTGACATTTTACCAGCAAAAAATGTGAAAAAAGCCCCAAAAAGTTATTTATGATCTGCAACCTGCTCTACTGATTTTTTTTAGAATCATAGAATCATTTACATTGGAAAAGGCCTTTGAGATTATCAAGTACAACTGTTAACCTAGCACTGCCAAATTTAACACTTCTGATATGATTGTATTTACTACATAGCTGTGTTCTCTCATCTTTAGGTATTGAACCTATTTCTGGCCTTGCTGCTGAGCTCATTTAGTTCAGACAACCTTGCTGCTACTGATGACGACAATGAAATGAACAATCTCCAGATTGCTGTGGCAAGGATTCAGAAAGGCATAGATTATGTTAAAAAAAAGATACAGGAGTTCATCCGAAAAGCCTTCGTTAGAAAGCAGAAATCTTTAGAGGAAATCAAAGCACTTGAAGAGCTAAACAACAAGAAAGACAGCTGCATTTCCAATCATACTGCCGTTGAAATAAGCAAAGATCTGAATTATCTCAAAGACGGGAATGGAACCACCAGTGGTGTAGGCACAGGCAGCAGTGTGGAAAAATATGTAATTGATGAAAATGATTACATGTCATTCATAAACAACCCAGGCCTCACTGTGACAGTGCCCATTGCACTTGGAGAATCAGATTTTGAAAATTTAAATACAGAAGAATTTAGCAGTGAATCTGACATGGAAGAAAGCAAACAGGTAGGATTTTTCATATCTTAAAAGTATTAAATTGTAGTCATATGTTTACATGTTTTAACTACATATTTAGAATATTTTTAAAACTGTAATATCCCATGTAAATATATTTCATGTTTTAGAATTTTATGTATTACCATTCAAGAAAAAATATATCATGGTACAGTAGAGGATCCTTAGAGTTTACATTTTTAGTGTTTTGTTTATTAAAATTTGGAAGATATTTGATTTTAAATATTAATATTTCTTTCACAGTTTTATGAGGTTTTAGGACTAGTAAACACTTGATAAAGCACTCTTTATGTAGTACCTACATGTGATAAGAATGTATAGAATAAGGATGGAAGGCTAAGGGACAATTAAGGATCTATGCATACCAAATCAAACCTAAGTGGAGAAAAAAATACTACTTTCAATATTTAGGGTAGTTCTAAAAATTAGCCCTGAAACATCACAAATCAGTAATGTATTCTAGATTATCTAAAAGTTTTGTGAGTAATATTTGTACAGACTTTGGGTTCAGAGACTTAGGCTGGCTGAAATGAAGTAATCTAGGTACCGATGAATGTCATGTAAAGCAGCAGCTCAGGTTATCCTGGAGAGCAGAATGACCTTGTGATCTAGATGCACGCAGAAACAGCTTACTTGAAGGCTTTATGCTGTTAATATTGTGCAGTTACAGAAGGTGGTCTAAAAAACCAATGCCATGTGTTTCAAAATCTAAGTGGCTCAAATGCCAGAAGTGATCATGAACAGGTGCTGATAGTATTCAAGGAAAACTTTGTATTGGGGTAGCGATCAATGACTAATAAATGCATTAGCAGAATCTAATTATATTCAGTGCCATTAGAAATTTAGGAACTTTGAGGTTTAAGGCATCAGGAACCATGGATAAATTTGTTTTCAATTAGATTAGAAGCTGTGATGTTATGCAATAGCTTGTTAGTCCAAAAGGGTTTGTTTACCATGATGAAAGCTCTCCAATAAAGAAGCCCTGCATTCATGACTTTATCATAGCTGTATATCTGGCATATTTGCAATATCAGACTTCACCACGTTACATTAATGCATAGCCATGAGCCAGTTAATCACGGTATGGGGCTTTTACTAAAGAACATCAAGAGTGTGTGTTTATTTGCAGCTGCAAAAAATGCTGCTCTGTGTAACAACTGTAAGATGAAGAGCAAGATATTCTATAATCTGAGTTGCTCAGTTATGAGACAAACACTTTCAATGCAGATGTATAAGATAGTACAGCAGTAGTGCTTATCCATGGTAAATTTAGAATATAAGAGATACAGGAAGTATAAAGCAGTGTAAATTAAGAGATCAACTAGTATTAAAAAAACCCCAAAACATTCAGAGTGATTGTGGGTCTGACAGTTAAGTGTTTTTTTTATATAAGCTGATTTAATAAAATTTGGTTTTCATTCCCAATGAACATTTAACAAAGTTTTCTGTACTTTCATATATTCTGGTGTTTTTTAAAATGACATTACACTATATATTTTCTTCTGTCATTGTGGCTAACTCTGATAAATACAGTAATGAATGCCTTCCTATTAACTCCATCAAGTTACAAGCCTAAAAATTTCCTGAATATGTTAGTTTTTAAAAGGTTTGTAGTATGCATTAGGACATTGCGGGGGGCTGTGCAGACACTGAATTTGTGGTTACATGACAGGTTAGCCTCTTCACTGAAGGAACTTGGAAAGTTCCTATCCACACCTGGCTAGTCTTTGCCACTTTCTCTGCCTCAGATTATGGCATGGGTATTACTTGTTTATTTCTCCTGTAAGGTAGAGTGAATGGCTCAGTTTACAATGTACTGCTGTATATTCTATCAGAACAGCTGAGGAAAAAACTAAATGCAATGCAAAGGCAGAAACTCCTCTGCTTTCCAGGTGAATATGTGATGTATGTACACCCCAAGAAAATGGAGTAAAAGCCCTTCTGGATGTGCTGACAACTTCTGAATGCCAATTTCAAGGTGACTTTCACAAGTCAATTGCTCTGTTCCACCCCAGCTTTGCCTGGTTTAGGCATCATACCTGTATATTCTAAGGCCATCCTGAAGTTTCTGGACAATAATAAATCAAAAGGGATTTTGCCCTTTTTTTAAAATAGACTGGTATCTGTGTGTCTTCAGGAAGAGAAACCAATTAATAAGCAATTTGACAGTGAAAATTTCAGGTGGTTGTGGGAAATCCAGCAGTAAATGGTGGATGGTGTTTTTATTAAGAAATTGTGGAGAAATTTTCAATAGGGTTAAGATAGGTTTAGGACTTCTATGCTGCTTCAGTATTTTTGTAGACTGTAGTAGTCAGTACCATTGGGAAACTGAAGCAATAATACTTCCATCAAGTTCTGCTCACACACAAGTGTCCATTGTTTAACTGCCTGACATGGATTCATACCGTGCAAGTGTGCATATTGTGAACAGTATCTAATCAGACAGTATCCTGAACATTGTGAATTCTGTATTAATTCTGGATTCCTTATTCCATTCCTTCTGGATGATTTCTATGAAAAGAATAAAGTGGGGTTATTTTATTGTGTGTATAAAAATCCACTGGATTTGGAATATATGAACAGAAGTTCTGGCGTGTGACAGGAATTTGTGAAGTTTCCCAAACTTCTCCTACCAAGTCAACAGTACTGCTGAATCTTTTGCTGCCTTCTGATTGTCTTTTAAGGAAGATAAAGAGTACATTGGTGCAGTGTTTAAGTTACCTCTCTAGAACAGTACACCATCACTTGCTTTGTTTTGCCTTCCAAGGGGTCCCACTGGGAAAACATTCCTGCTAGAAGGCCTGGTCTGCAAAAGGAGGGGTAAGAGATGGAGCAGAACTTTCCCTGCCGTAACTGTGGCAGTACTTAGCACTTAAAATGCCCCAAGGACATATCCACTATGATAACATTTTATTTAACCACAGAGCTGTGGAAAGCTAGATCTGCATTGTGAAATTAATATTTTTTCCTCTGGTCTCTTCCTGACTGTCGCTGATGTTAAGAGTAGAATGATTATTTGAAGTGTGTTATGCTAGAAGTGGGGCATAGCCTGTGTTTTCCTGAAGAATATACCAGGAGCAAGTAATTAGTGTACTTGTGGGTGAGTGAGGAACAAATTGTAATATTTCCTATTTTTTTATCATATACACTATAGTAGAAAATAACTCTAGCCATTGAGCTTCACTGGGAAGGCTAGCTCTTTTCTTTTTTCTTTTTTCTTTTTTTTTCCCCTTTTCATGCTTTCATGGATATCCATTCTAATTAATTTGCTAGTTAATAACTTCCAAAATCTGCCAGAACCTATTCTGGAAACTGATTGCAAATTCCAGACCTAAACAAGAACTTTCTAATACATATCACTAGAAATTTGAGATCACCTTTTTTTGGATGAATGAGCACATTTATTAGATTATAAAGTTACTTGCTGCTTTAGAGTAATAATTGGCTGAAAGTACTTGCAAGAACTGAACATTTAAGTCATACTTTGAGGGAGGATTTTTTTAATTATCAGAAAAGAGAAGTGCACTACCTAATGAGATAATCATCAGAAAAGAAACAGATTTCTGCTCTGAAGAAAAGATGCTCAAGATCATTAGCTTTGAAGATCAAAAAATTAGAAATAGCTTAAGGGGATAATTTGGTGGGTTTTAACCTTAGCATGTGGATGCTGTTTTTATTGTGAAATGAGTAACTATGTTAATCTTACCAAACATAAGACTCATAACTATTGTATATTGTGTATTATTTAACAACTGTTTGTTAGAGCTGATTGACAACTTTATAAATATAGTTTTGCATTTCAACATGGAAAAATAATTTCAAATATATTTCTCAGTTATGGAAAATTTATTTTACAACTAAAGAAATACATATACCTACAGCCTCAATCATTCACAATTCCAAGAACCTTTCTATCTACAGTGTATGTACAGTAAATACAAATTCAGGTTGGAGAAATAAGGGTACTCAATAGACTTTTGATGATCACAACAGATGATTTTGATACAATTAAAAATATCCTTCATCATAGAATCTACTGAATTTTGAAAACAATTAATAAATTCAGTTTTCTGATTGGCTTCATCAGGGACTTTGTGTCTAGATGAAATGAAAAGTAAAAGAACGGAATTATTGCATTCCCAAAATAGAAGCATTTTCATTGGGCTTCAATAAATTTCTTAGCCAAAACTGACTCAGCAGGATTTCATCAATTCGTTGGATTTTTTAAATTGTGTTTAAAATGTCCAGCAATATAAGTGGTTTTTTTCTAAAACTGACTCGGTCTGGGACAGTATCTTCAGAAGTGACAAATTATTTAAGTTATAGACTAGCTGTGGTTAATGATTTAAACCATATTTCTGGTACACTGATGCTCCACTGTCCAGGCACTGACAGAATCCTCTTTTGAAACAATGAGATAAAGATTATAGATTCAGAAGTGTATAGCATACTAAATCTGAACTAGAAACTTCACGCAATCTGATAATTCATCACATTTGAGTTGAAGAGAAATTAAAGATGTTTCTTTTCATCAAGATCTAGGAGCTCTACCATTATTAGAGGGTGAAGGAGGAATGGGAAGGCATACATCTTCAAAGTATTTTGCTTCCTGTATGTACATATTTTTCAAATAAAACAGGCAATCACATAGTCAGTTAAACAAAGACTAGGACATGAAATAAACAAAACCCTTAAAACTTTCATTAATAAGCATTAAAGACTGTATAAATATAGGAATAGTTTCCAGATCTGCTAACCATGTCTTTGTTAATTTTATTCATTCAATTTTTATTTATGAATCACAATTTTTGTGTGCAGATTAGTAGTTCTAGCTTCTGTATTTGTAATTTTTCGAAAATAAACTAACAAGTTCTGTAGAAAAGTTTGTTGAACATTTCAGGTGGTATGTATTTCCCTTTTCCCAGCTAATAATAAAATATTTAATAATTATGTTTTAATTGTGTTAAAGCCATGTTTGAATTAGAGATTCCAAAAAGAGAAAAACTAGTGATCCTGTGTATTGAACTTCACTACCTACCATTCTTACTTCTCACAGGGGTAAAACCAAGCTGGAGCAATCAAGAATGCAGCTCTGGTGCTTTTTAACCAGGTAGAGCAACGTGTCACCACTTTCACACAGGTTACCTAAGCAAGTTATACATATATATGTATATATATATATAATCACTTTTTAATGGATTTTGATTGGCCTGCATGCTATTCAGCTACGTACCTTCCCTATCCATTGCAAGAGTAGAAACATGCACAGCTGCTCTCTGCTGAGTCATGGGACTCACATCACAGCATGGTCAGGTGGGATTGGCAAACCCAACATACATTTTTTAACTCCGCTAATGGTTTTTCTGAATATTTAAATACAGTATTTAGCAATAACTGCATGCTCTTCAGGTTTTGAAGTATGGATCATAAAAATACTGGAATGTTTTATGCTAAAGAAGCCAAAGAAAAAGGGAGCATGCATAGTTTTTAAAAAATAAAAACAACCCTTTTTGATTCAGCCCTTATAAATGTAAATATTTAATGAAATATTTTAAGTGATTTTGAAATAATTACTGCCATGAGTTCAACTCCTTAATGAATAACATTTGAAATATTGCAATAGCTACTGATGTAAAAATTACAGTTATACTTTTAAATCTACAATGCACTGTAATGCAGATCTTCAAGATGCTACAAACTACACGCTATATTCATTTGGACAGTGCATATCTTGAGTATTATAAACTGGAAGCAAAGCAAACAGTTTCATAATTGCTAAAATTATACCTAGCAAACAACTCTCCCTAAAGAACTACAAAAGCTAAACATTTTACAACTTCTCTTTTCTTAAACCCCTTTATAAATAGTGGTGTTTGGAATGTGTTTCACTATAGCATTCCATAAATTAGTTGGGGGACTTGTTTGTGTAAATTGAACAGTCTGTGGAGTAGTCAGCATAATTTTAATAAAATTGCACATATATCTATTTATCCTAAGGATTTTTTTCATTATAGGCAAACATGCCATTGATGAGTGATTGGCAGAGCCTTCAGGAATAGCAACAGCTATTATAACACAGGAACCAAAGTTACATGAAACTATGGAGGTTAAATTATTCTAGTAAAATGAGGCATCAAAATTTGGAGGGGGTTGAGATTTCAGTCCTGTATTAGGATTGAAAGCTGTTTCCTTCAGGCAGTTTCACTTCAAAAGGATCACCAAGTAGTTAATTTTATACCCTTGATTGTAGTGTGGCATGATCTACCTATTGTGGTCTAAATTGCCCAGAGATGCCAAAAAAAATTAATATTGGTGAGTGTTCTGAAAATTCTCAGATTTTAATGAAGAAATTTTAAACCAAGATATGCTTCAAACACCAAATAAAAGTCTAAGGAGAGAGATTTTAAAATTACATTCTTAACATAATACAAAAGTCAAAGGTTGTAAGATCTGAGATATAAAGTCAGTTTAGAATCACTTTGGAATCATCAATCTCCATTATTTTATATTTTTTCACTCAATTACAGTGCAGCTTTCAAGACTGAAAGGATAAAACCACATGGCTGAATTATCAAAGGCAATTTGTAATGGCTGAATCCTTTTATTTTATTGTCACTTGAATCATGAAGCCGTTTGTAAAGCTTAAAACTTCAGTAGCCTGCTCTTGCTCTTATTGAAATTTAGACTAGAATTAAATGAGAGCAAGACTGGGTCTTAAGTGAATGCATTTCCTTGTAAATGGGCACATTAACACGCTGTTGGTCAAAGCTTGTTTTAATGATCGAAGCTGTCGATAAGTGATGCACTGCTCTGAAAGAACATTATGGAGGCTGATTATACATACATTAACCAAGTATTTGGGTGGGTGATGAAGCATTTTTTTCTTTTATATCCTACACAATAATATTTATAATACTGTTTTCAGAAAAATATAATCCCACTGAGGTAGTCTGATTGTTTCTTTTATTTTTGTGTGTGATTTCCACAGTATTGCTCAGGCTTCTGCTCTAGTCAAGCATGTTGTTTTGCTGATTCAGGCCTTGAGAATGCTGCATCATAAGCAATTGCTTTCAAATGTTTCCTTATAAAGGAAAATGTGATATCATTGAAGATGCAAATAAATATTTACAGGGCATGGTGTGTTCTGGAGGCTGATAATCACATTTATGAGCTGATAAGAAGATTGTGCTAATCCATCATGTATCTTGAGCTTCCTATTAGTTTTATTAGCTTTATTGCTAGAAAGAATATCATTAATGTCACCTTATTTAAAATGTATTGGTTCTTTCCTAATTTAGGGTCTTGAAGCAAAGAAGAGGAGTGTTATTAAATAATGAGGTTTTTCTCTTAAAAATGCAGTTGTTTGAGATTATATAAAAATAATGAAGCGAATGCTTTGTGTGAAAATTACTGAAAATAATTATAGTAGTTTTTGTTTGTACTGGTTACAAATTGCACTTCTGTCACTTGGTTTAAGCAACGATGCTGACAGAACTATCTGCAGCAGAGTTTACATGGGAAGATGCAGTTAAAAATTTGACTGCCTTTTAATTTGCCCTCCTAGATTTATAATGGATGCTTACTATGAACCTTTATCTTGCTATTATTAAGTCAGCAATTTATTTAATGATGATGGATCAGGACATGAATTAATTTTACTTTTCTTAAGTTGACTGTGACAGAAAATTATTTTTAAAATGTTTCAGTTTTATTTAATGAAGAAAGTGCTTGTCATTTCAATGGTATTATTTCTTGGTATTTCCATGATATACAATAAGAGAGTTAATTCACAAGTATTATTTCTAAAAGAGAGAGAGCCTTATGTGTGCATTATAAATTGGTGTGCTAATAGTGTTTAATATAGTGTATATTACTTGGTATTTTTGTTGTAAATGTAATAGAGAAAGTGAGATTTAAAATATTCTCACAGTGAGATACACAGTATTTTAATTCAGACTCACAGATTTACATGACCAGTAATAAAATTATTCCATTTAGAGGCAACATGGCTGGAACTATTTTACATATATAAATTTCGGAAGTCATAGAGGAAGTGCAGTATGAGAAGTGAAACACAATATTATTTTTGGTCATAATGCAGTAACAACCATGGGACCTGAGGTCTGAGAGACCCTACATTGACTACATATTGTGTGTGCAAAAGGCAGCTTCTTGAAATTTGTCCCTGAAATTATCCATCATTCAACATGTTCTTTGTTTAAAACTTCATTCACATAATGTAAAAGTTAAATATGTGGAAATAATTCCTTACAAAGCTGTATTAAGATATATGTGCCACTTAATTTCTGGCAGAAAAAGCCCTCAGCTGCCAATACATTTTACTGAAGAGACTGGGTTTCAACTGAAGAGTTAAATAACTAGTTTTAATTTGCAGCAGTGTCTCTGAAGAAGAAGAGAATACATGGAAGTGCCTCTTTCAAGAAACAAGTTACTGTTTATTATTTGTTGCAAAATTTAAACAGTAGGGGATTTTCCTATTCTAAAAATACCACTATCTTGAAAACTAAATGAAAAGTACTTGATATTAAGCACTCTCTCAACAAAATTGAATGGAAAGATCTCCATCCTTTCTAAACATGACCTTCCTCCAAAGGTCAAAGGACATGATCAATTCTGCTTAGCTAAAAGCACAAATCTACTCAGTGCTGGAGTGCCCTTTTGTTGCATCTGTACCTGCACAATTTAAAGTATTAAGTGAGAGGTGCATTCCACATCCCTTGTGAAATTCGTATTTACAACTGCTACATGTGATAAATGAGACAAATTTCACTGCCACAATTTCTGTAATGCTGCTTTCTGATTACAAGTCTTATTTCACAGTCAGAGTATTTTGGATGAAAAAATTACAACAGTACAACAGTAGTGCCAACTGAAAACAATTTACAAGCACTATGTCTGATAATTGCATTTGTTGTTTGCATCTTTAGCAGTAAATTCCTTTCAAAGTATGCTATCTTAAAAGGGCAAAATTATGGGCAGTCTTGTGTGACTGATAAACTGTATGACCTGATCAGATTTTTAATGTAGTTGGTAAAAATTTTCTTCATTTGAGTTATTTTTATCAATCTCCAGTTCTTGCAGTTTTCAGATCTAGAAGTGTTTTTACTGTAGTAAGGACTATAGTATTCCATTGTATAAAAAAGCAGTAGAATGATAGAAAAATTTGGGATGGAAAGTGCATCAGGAGGCCTCTCAAAAAGCACAGGAGACCGGAATGCAAAGAAGATGTTTCAGCGCGGGTAATTTGTGCTTTCTGCAAAAATTAAATGGTGCAGAAATTTGCCATTAAGTGTCATTAAATTTACAACTCTTTAATCCAGGTAACATGTATTTTTGTGAAAGTACCATTCATAGTGGACAAGAAGGTATATGTGCAGATTTGTGTTAGTTCATTTTGCTAGGAAAACTAAGACACATTCCAATGTAATCCAGCACTATAGTAAAGAAGATTAAATAACCTGAGAGAGTGCTGCATGCGAGCTCTCCAGTATAAATATTACTCAAAATACTACACCAGTCATATTTATGGATCAGGTTGGTAGCCAAATTATATTTCATTGTTCCCTATGAGAAGATAGGGAAACAGAATTATAACGTCGTTACTGTGGTTTTGCTTTTAATAATGCATATTTATAAATTTGTCATTCTTTAAAAGTTAGACTGGCATGATTTGATTCAGTACCATTTTTTACAGAATTTGTATCTAATGAGAAAAAATTGTTCTGTGGAACTTTACTTACAGAAACTAAATGCATCAAGCTCATCAGAAGGCAGCACTGTTGATATTGCTCCTCCTGGAGAGGGCGAGCAAGCAGAAATTGAAAGTGAAGAAGCTCTTGAACCAGAAGCCTGTTTTACTGAAGGTTGTAGAATAACTATTGACTTAGATGTATTACTAAAATGACATTGTTACTATGCACATTTAGGTTCTTGAGGGTTTCAAATATGGTATATCTTCATGTCCTCAAAAATCAAAAGAAAATGTTTTTAGCCCAGAATGCTGGAAATCAGATGAAAAAACAAGGTTTCCCTAGGTTTTGAGTAACTTAATGTATCTGGCCACTGCATACAACTTGTAACTAAGAAACTTCCTTCACTTTTCTATTGGTAAAATGCTTTTCAGCTATTTGAATAAGCCCTTGAAAATTGAAAGAAGTAAATTTTTGTGTGACTCTTATCAACAAATAGAACAGTTACATGCCAACAGTCAAAAATACTGATCTTTTTGGATGGACTTCTTTCATAATTAAGTATGCCATTGTCTAGTTTCTCTCCAGATTAGTGTTCTTAATTTAGATATTCATCATCCTGTGTGATGTGATAGCCTATTCAGCATTCCAGTGATTACTTTTTAAACATAATATAAAATTAGTAAAAGCCACTAACAATATATACTACAGTAAATACTGACTTTGAAGTAATTGGCTTTTGGATACTAACATCTCTTAATCTAATGCAGGTTGTGTACAGAAATTTCCATGTTGTCAAGTAAGTATAGAAGATGGCAAAGGAAAAACGTGGTGGAATCTTAGAAAAACCTGCTACAGCATAGTTGAGCACAACTGGTTTGAGACTTTCATTGTATTCATGATTCTCCTCAGCAGTGGAGCATTAGTAAGTACAACAAAATTGCAGATGCTGAAGTATTTTGAAATCTCTTAGGAATAAAAATTAAATTTGCTTCAGAAAGACTTGTTTTGTTTGTAGCTGTATGAAACTCCCTACATCTCATCATTCCATAATGGAATGAAACTTGACCCAAACCTGAAAAAGTTTGATACATTTCATATGCACTTTTTTAATCATGCTTTTGTCTTGCCACTATGAAATGGTGCCATTTCCTTTAAGACAGCGTAGCTCCTCAAAGTTTAAATTGCCTGCCAATTTTCAGCATCTTTGTCAAGAGATTTGAGTACAAAGGGCTATTGTTACCGGTGAATATATAGCTAAATATATGGGTTTAAGTCTTTAATTCCTCCTAGTCTGATCTACTTTTTGAATTTTGCTTGTGAAAGACCATACTAAAAAATGGAATAATTACTTCATTCTATTCCTATTTTGAAGGCAGGAGATGTGGAAAAGTTCAGCAAATTAAATGGAAAAGTTCAGCAGCAAATTAAACATAACAACCACTGTCCAAAAAGATTTGCATTACACAACTTTCCAGCTTCACTCAGGTTGAACATTTGCTACAATATCAATGTGCATAGTTGTATATTCTAGCAAATACATTGCTTTTTAATTTTTTTAGACATAAGTTTTATCTAACTGCTTTCTAGAAAGCAATACAAATATCTGTATCAGATATATAAGAATAGCGGGGTTTTGTGTCTATGTGAAAGTTTCTTAAATACCACAGAGGATAAAAAAAACATGCTGTGAGTTTCTTTCTTCATTCATTAGTAATTTTAAATTTAAATTTAGAATTTTAAATTATTTTTTTTTAACTCCAGACAGGTCTCCTGTTGTTCCATTTAGTAGTATAGTTAAAGATGGAAAACATATTAAAAAAGAAAATGAAGAAAAACAAGGGGAAATATTAGCTCTTCTCTAATTATTTTTTATTCCTTATTCCTTAATTTTATCATGTATATTCTGTGAAATAGTAGTAATACCTCAATATATTTTTATAGGCTTTTGAAGATATATATATTGAACAACGCAAAACTATCAAGACCATGCTGGAATATGCTGACAAAGTTTTTACGTATATTTTCATTTTGGAAATGCTTTTAAAATGGGTAGCATATGGTTTTCAAATATATTTTACTAATGCCTGGTGCTGGCTGGACTTCCTGATTGTTGATGTAAGTACAAATTAATATTGTAAAATTCTCTATAGTAAAGTTTCTGTGTTGTACCATGCTACCATATTTCTTGAGATATTTGCATAAATTCTGGTCTCATCAATATTTATTCCATATGTATATAAAAATTCATCATATTTGTAACTCCCACAGGAAAAAAAAAAAAACCTAGCTGGAGTGGCCCATAATTCAAAATGGATGACCTCTTTTTTCCTACCAGCCTGAGTTAGTTTTGTTATACAGTTAATCTCTAGCTCTGTCCTGAAAATCTACACTAGAATGAAGCAGTGTTTATGGTTTTCCTAAGAGCATGTTAATGAAGTAGAGAGATGCACTCTTACAAGACTGTGTTAAAAATTGATTTTTTTAGATAAATTACAACTCATGTTTTAATTATTCTTCTTGTATCTTAAACCTAAACAGATTGTTCTAATCCATACTCCATGATTTCCTAGCTTAGCCTCAGAGATGATGTTATCTGGGCAGGCTTTCAAACTTAAAAATACGTCATTATAAGTAAAGCAGCTTATGTTGCTAACTTTTTACCATAGTTTGTAATTTTATAAACAAAAACATGAATAAATAAGATTGGAAGTTTCTACTGTTGAAGAATTATTTTCAATGTTCTAGCAAGATGTAAAAAATGCCTTACTGTGTTTAAGTCTAACTCAGCAATTTCTTTAGCACCACCAGCACTTGAAAGAAACACATGAACTCATGTTATCTTCCTATAGAAAAGCAGGCTGTGCACTGCTTTAACTGTCAGTTTAAAGAGGTGATTCAGCAGCATTCTGCCAGTGAGAACACCAATGTCTCCTTCTTCATTAGAAGTGACTAAAGTTAATCAGATTGTTTAATTCATTCTCTAAAATAATTCAAGAGTAAACACAGATAATCCTTTAGGGCTTTGACCTTTAGTATCTCACATACCTGAGTCTCTCACTGTGACAAGTAGCCACAGTTGCTCTCACTGGTTGTGACTAAATTAGATTTTAATAATTACACTAAGAATGGTAATTTTCAGCTCTGTCACTTTACAGCTGTGACAGATGACTCTTGGTACATCTGCCTACTTCAGTTTATGACTCTATCATGCCATCGTACTGTACAGCCTGACCAAAGATCTTGAGCAAGGCTGTCACTGCTAAGCTTCTAAATTTATTTTTTTTTTTTTGCAACAGATAGTCTATATTAGAAGAAAAATACAAATGAGGACATACAATCCTTCAATTTTAGGAGACATATCTTTCTACCATTTTGAGTTCATTTTCATTTCTTAAAAGTACTGCATCTGCATGCACTAATCTATTTGTCAGTGTGCAGAGACATTTACTTCCTGGCAACAAATCAGGTGGAACAGATGAGAGAAGACCAAGTTTACAGTACTCAGCTCACCAGAGGAGTACAGAACAGTTGTATATCCAATAGAATTCCATGCAAAACTTTGCATCCCATATGAATTGCAAAGAGGAAAACACATTGTTTCCAATAGATAAAGTATTTCTTTGAGAAAAAACTTCATGTTTATGGTGTAAGAGCACTATCACCATGATAAGAAATCTGCCCATAATCTGAAATAGGCAGCGCAAACAAGATTGAAGAATTTTACAGTCAGGACCTAAGAACTGCCAATACACACAGTGTCACTGAAGGATTTCAGCAGCTGCTGCTACCTAACAGTTTAGAACAGGTCTTGTTTGTGAAAGATAGGTGAGGCATAGTGCAAATTAATAGGAGTTTAATTTCATAGAACACCACCCTCTCCCAGTGAAAGAGATATTTTTAAAATATTTGTTTCAGTGTTTATTTTTAATTCATAAAATGTGCTGTCTTTACACTAAGGTTTATTGTTATGCTGGGTATCTTGTTGATTTGAGTGAATAAATGAATATTCTATTAAAAATACAAAAAATTCCATGTCTTGTTATCTCTGGAATATATTATGGGTGACTAAGGATAAAAAAAGATTTCTCTCACTGTAGCATCACAGGAAAAATAGATTGGATTAATGATAATTATTAAAAATAATTAATGTCAATAGTTAATGTAATGGCTGAAAAATAATGTTATCTCTAGTAAGTGAAAAGTCTTCAATTGCAGACTAAGAAAATCAGTACGATTTTCTTCTTAATATGCTTATGAATCACAGCAAGTTCCATTTATCCATTAGAGAAATAAAATAATCCTTTCCTTTGTTAATAAAAATTACATTCTGACATGAAATCCAGTTGAAATGTCCAGCAATATGAATTCACTAAAACACTGTTTTCTGTTAGATAATATACATAGCAACATAGCAATGAATAACTGATTTGTTTTTGCTCTTGGACTGGCCTTCTTAGACATGGTCTTGTAACTCTTGTGTTTGTGAGTCATCTAATCGTTCTTTATGGATATAAGTAACAAAGGAAAACAACTTTTCATATAATAGTCAAAATCTTACCACCATTATCAGTGAATTCCTATTTCTGTGGAGTCTTTGAAGAGTTCTTTAAGCTGAGGTACAGAAATTAACATTTGAGGGATTTTCTTAAGGACCAAAATATGCCTATGTTCATTTACATGTCATCTATGCTTTTGGTGGTAGAAATGAATAAAATATGAGTAAGGCATGGTTTTTCCCCACTCCTGTCTCCAAAACTGCTTGAAGAAAATTAATTCCTTTCATATGAACACAGTCTAAAGCTCAATTCCATTTGAGAAGCAAATTAATTGCTCCTTACTTAAGTGGATTGTCTTTTAACAAAATTCCAATAACATGCATCAGGAGCATAACACTGTTGTAGATAATACAGCTCTTACTGCTATAAGGTGAACAGCTGTTAATATCTTTCCCATAATATTTTTCTATACTTAGAAGATTTCAAAAAAAACCAGAGACTTGCCAGGAAAGTGAGATAGTACCACTATCGATACATATTTCTGAGATACCCTGGTTATTGTTGTTATGAACTGTTTCACTTAGAAGTAATATTTATAACAAATATTTTTAATTAGCTACTATAATATTTAGTATATTGTTAGTGTTTATAGATATTATTAGTGTGTAGATGTTATTATTTATATTAGTGCTTACGTGTTATTTATGTTAATGGTTATATGTTATTATTAGTGTTTATAGATATTCACAATATTGACAGGTGTTAATAAAATAATTTAGTGTATTCAGAATTTTAAATTGCTTGAAAGCGTGAACCCTAATGAATTACAGGAAGTATGAGTATTTTGTCCTTAAAGATTCCTGGAAATTTTATCTTTCACCAAGAGTATGCTTCCATGTGACTGTTAAACTCTATCCAACCATAATAGATAGACATTTAATAGCATATATTCCTTTTTCAACCATGCATTTATAAGACCTCTTGCCTTTCCAGCAAGTATGAAAATGTTGGCATTCTATAACTTGTCGCTGTTGATTTGTTGCTTGAATTTCTATTCTTTTTAAATAAACAGTGTATAACTATTTTTAATTTTTTTTTCCTGTATTTGATAGGTCTCATTGGTTAGTTTAATAGCCAATGCTCTGGGCTATTCTGAACTTGGTGCCATTAAATCGCTACGGACATTAAGAGCTTTAAGACCTCTAAGGGCCTTGTCACGATTTGAAGGAATGAGGGTGAGATAAAATGAATGAATCTGAACAAATGTATGCATACAAAAATTAATGTATTAATGGTTACACTCATCTTGCTTCAAAGAACTCCAACACGGGATGGCATGCAAAAATGTGTGGAAAAAGGCCCTTCAACATGTCCTTACAAACACGACCAATGTACACCTCACATTTGGAAATTAGACCTCAAGCTCATTAAATTTGCCTGGTCACTGCTGCATAGTTGTGTTTTCCCAGCCCCCTGACTTAAAATTTCCATTGATTTGTGGACCTAGAAAAATAAAAGGACATGACAAATTTTATGGTAGAGGGTTGGATGTTTTTTCCTGCAGTTTATCTGGGAATTTTTTTTACTCAATTTCTGTAGCTAACTTCAATTCTGTGCTAGTTTGTCAGTGGTTCAGGATAAAACACAATAAGCCAAGGAACAAAACAAACCAACAAAAGCTGAAAAAGCTGACAACAGTGACACACCAGAAATGAAAGCTTCACTGTGTCTCCATATCTACATGCCTGGGGAAAAAAAAAATCCCACAGTAAATGCTGTAGTATTAGGGAAAGGTATTTTGAAAAGACCTGAAATAAGGATAGGTTTGGAAGTACAGAAGGAGAGAAATGGGAAATCATTTCCTCAGCTAGAGACTTTTTCCTTCATATGAATGGAAAGAGAGCTAAAACCTTCCTGCTAAGGAGATTGTCATTTTCATATTCTGCCAATCTGACAAAAACAAACCAACCAACCAGAAAAAAAAAAAAAAACCCTCCTGGAAAAAACATATTATAAATTGTAGCAGACCATGCTATCCATTGAAAAAATTGATACATAACAAATTTAAAAAGAAATGTTATTGAGAGAGCTCCTTTTAATCTTTCATCTCAACTTCAATACGTATTTATAGTTCAGTAATAGGTCTTCATTTGCCAAATAAATAATGTGGTTCCTGTCTGGGCAAGGCTGCCGATATCCTAGCGGTGGCCACACCTGCCAGTGTAGGGAAGTGTGTCCTGTGCACATCACCATCACCACTATGTTTTACATGATTGGCAATACAAACAACACATCAAGAGTCTATCTAATAAATAAGCAAAGCTTCTGTTGATGCTAGACTACTTTTGGTCAACTCAGTAAAATGAAAAATAGTACCTTTTTCAAACCCATACAGAAAAGACTACTGCAGTCTCTACTGATTTGCTAGAAAATTAATATCTGCAACTTTCTTTTAGTGGAATTACAATAACTAAGATAAAAGTTTTAGTTGAATTACAATAACTAAGATAAAACTTGTCCAAGGATTTCATCTGGTCATTAAATGCAACCAATTAAAAAGAAAAAGAAGGATACGGGTAAGAGCAACTATAGTGACCCAGGCAATTTAAAACCAAGACTTAGAGCAAATGCTGTTAATAATTATTAAATCAGATATCCTTAATTTTGTTGCATTCTGTGTGGATAATAAACTACAATGATGTCAATATATACATAACTTTTCTAAGAATAAAATGATTAGTAATGATAGTTTTACATGCAGACATTTTTGTTCAGTCTTCCACATCATCATTCTTTGAGCTTTTTCTGGTTTATTTTCTATTTATGTATTTTAATTTATATTGCTGGAATTTAACATTTATTTCTCTCTTTTTCTCTAGAGCACACAAATTCTAAGAATTCATCTTGCTACTAACAGGTTTTCTTTTGCTTTTTGATTTTTTTTCAGACTTTTGCATTGTCTTTGTTTCCATCTCATTTTATTTCTTGCTTTTTCCAATCCCATTAGCATTTTATTAAATCTTCATTAAAATTTCTCCCACAAATTTTATTGCAATATTTTAACTGTCCATCCCATAATAATACTGTTTTCACATTTTTAAAGTATTTTCAAGTATTTTTCATTTTCTTTCCATAAGCTAAGTGGCTATTTTGTCTAACTTGTACACTAGGTGGTTGTAAATGCCCTTGTAGGAGCAATCCCATCTATCATGAATGTATTGCTGGTATGTCTTATATTCTGGCTAATCTTCAGCATCATGGGAGTAAATCTTTTTGCTGGAAAATTCTATCATTGTGTCAACACCACAACTGGTGAGATGTTTGATATCAGTGATGTCAACAATTATACTCAGTGTGTGGAACTCATAAAAAACAATCAAAGTGCCCGATGGAAGAATGTGAAAGTAAACTTCGATAATGTAGGAGCTGGATATCTTGCTCTGCTTCAAGTAGTAAGTGAATGTATATATTTTATTTCTGGTCTTTTTAAAGGTGTCTAGGAAAAATGGGCAAGTTAAGACTGTTAAGCAGAGGAATAATTTCTTCATAGCAATAATGCACAGCTCACGCAACCCTAATACATTGTTTCCTGTATTGTTTTAATGATAGTAGAGTAATTTTCCTTTCTAAGACTAGGGAATACAGTCTCAGGAGGATGATAATAATAATGTGAAAATAGAAAGTGTAGAAAATAAAAGATTCTCTGTAGTGGTGCACAGTATAGAACTATCATATTCCTTTATGCTTATTAAAGAGTCATTATAGTATATTAAATAAGTATTATGCTACTTATAAATTTAAATAAGTATTATCCTTGTGAAGTACTGGATGTTATTGCATAGCATATTAGTTCCATTAATTACTGCTACTTATACAAAATTTGTAAATTTACAGAGAAATGCAATTGCATTTCTCTTTCAATTGCTTATCTTATGCACTGTGTTAAGAACTGCACTTATTCTAGGTACTGAGCATATTTTACTTGTGTCAGAGAAATAAAGACCTTAGCTCTTTACAGGTTCCTTGCTGAGAATGAAGCTTCTAAATCTAGGATCTGATTCAAAACACAAGCAAGAAAGTATGTAATTACATTTAGATGATTGAACTCTGTAGAATCACTTGTCTGTAACTCAACATACAGCTTCACTGAATGAAAAGATTCTTACAGCTCTGATATTAAAAGTTATCTAAGAGTTATATGCTTGTCCCTTCTATCTCAGAGCAGGTCAGTATTTCTAGCTGACCTTAATTCCAAAATTAACTACCTTGATTAAAATGTTTTGCCTGTAAAGGCAATGCAACTTTTATGTGCTGTATAGTAGTACTGAGCAATGATTGATTCTCTGGCTTCAAATCTCATTGCCACTCTTGCCTCTGAAGATGTGTAAGGAAAGCTGCTTCTCTTGAAGCTGTGTATAAATGTCATCTGTGTCACACATCCAGACAGTCTAGGTCTTCAATAACTACTTAACTACTGTGAACCTTTCCTTCTTCTCACTCTTTTTAAATTTTTTTTTCCTGATTTTTCATAATTTTCCTTTTCAAATATTCCTTCTGACCTTTACTTGCCCCACAGAGATTAAGGGATCTTTGAGCATGTTTTGTGTCACATCTTCATTTGATTGCCTCCATTAACATTTTTCCTTCACTCTTCTGTATATATTGCTCTTACCTAACTCTGAACCTTTCCTAATATTGCTATGCAATGTGCACCAAATGGCTGGCCATTGCCAAAAACTGAGCCAGAAAGTGTGAAGCCTGGCTTCAAGCACACCTTCTCAGTAACTGGTATTGCACTGCAAGATTCAGGAGGATACAAATGCTTCCAGAGTGCAAGTTTTCTGCTGTGGAAACTGGCAGCTGTACTAAAGTACCAAAGCCACTTCTGGCAAGCACAGATGGAAATATACTCCTTGGAATGGTTCCTCTCCTGAACCTCCTCAGGAGTGATGCTCTTTGTTCATTTCACAGGCTTTTTAGCTCTTTTTCCTTTATTGTGAATAAGCCTGGAAACCCTGGCTAATGGTTGCACACTCACACTTTCAACTAGCATATCTCACCAACACTGGTGTTCCTTAGAAAATGGACATCCTGCATGCATTAAAATAAACTTCTTAGAGTAATGATGGCAGATCTTTTTACTCTTTACTTGAAGAAAGTCCCTATAGGAGCTCAGCCAAATTTTTAGATGTCAATTACATCAATTACATCTCTTTCACAGTTCACTTTTTGGTCTTCTGTAAAACAAATATAAGTAATAAAGTGTATTTTTACTTCAAACAGTCTATTCCTTTTAGCTATGTGGGATTAAAACATTTCTAAAAATACCAGGTCAGTTTAGACACAGAAAAAACCCCATTCAGACGCATTTTGGTTTCTGTCCAGAAGTTATGTTACTGATTCCATCAATTCATGTTGTAAACTTAAAAAAATGGCTGTGGTCATGAGTGGTTCTAGTAGATCCTACCTACATATCTCCAGCATTAATGTCTGCCTAAATCTATCATTCTTCATCTGCAAAGTAAACATCTGCAGCTCCAAACATACTGTCAACTTGAGATCTTCAGAGCTGGTTTTTAACAATATTTGAATAACTAAAAAGAAAAGTGTAAAAAAAAACTAGTATTACTAGAAAAAATATTTATGATGCTTGTGTTGTCAAGTATGGTTCAAAAATTTAGAAGTGATTTTATTTAAAGTGGAGGTCCAGATAAATAAATAATTTAGTTCTTGTATGTTTTACTATTTTTTATAATGAAGATAAACAACTTTGTTTTACTTCTAGGCTACTTTCAAAGGATGGATGGATATTATGTATGCTGCTGTTGATTCAAGAGATGTAAGTGTAAATTTTTCAAAGATCATCTATTGATTATTTTCTGAGAGTATAAAATTTAAATAGCTACAAACACAAAAAAAAATTATAATCAGCATCAATACATATTTTTTGAATCTCAGAATTTTTACTGGAAAGAATTTCACTTCCTTCTGTTTAGCCAAAAAAGCTAAATTAAGTGGATTTTTTTTTTAAGGATGCAGTCAGTGTAATAGAACAAAGAGATTTTTGACATATTTTTGATAATCATAAGTATGAATTAATTTAAGATTATATGATGCATTTATTAAATATGGAATATATTAATCAGGTTTTATAATTTGTAACTGTGCATTTTGTTGTTTCCTTAGGTTGAGTACCTATGTTACCTAGATATTTTAGTGCAATTAAATTTTAAGGCTGAAGATCACCTGTTAAGCTTTCTGGGGATTAGAATTTTACTTTGGCTACAAAACTCTGTTTAACTTACACAAATACTCATGTTAATTATATTGTCTCCCAGAGTAAAACACCCTCTTTCATTATCTTCAGCATTTCTACACTCAAGCTTGTTGTGCTGTAGAGATGCTGGGATGTGGCATCCAGAAAAACCGAGACAATAACAAAATCTTTCTTCACAACTTCCTAAATTTAATGGATTTCACAAAACATATATTCACTAAATATTTGTTGAAAGCATCTGTTCCTAGCTGGATGTAAGATCACTCTTGCAAGACCAAAAGAGTTACAAAGAGATTTAGGCAGTAGTAAATTTTTTTTTCTGTTGCATGATAATATACTGAACACAATATAAAATATTTAGATTTCTGCTAATAAAATTTTAAGTATTAATGACTGCTCTGCATCCCACATTGCTTCCTTCTTCTTTATGAGGAACTTCTTATATATGTACAAACATCTGTGGGCACATTTACTTAAAAATTTCATATGAGCAAAAATTCTGTCAGCTTCCGGTTCTCCAAATATTGATTGGAATGGACAAGTTCAATCTTTCTTTTTAATAAATTAGTGCTGTTCATAGCTTTTCTGTCTGAGATGGCATATACCTAATTCTATATTTTTACATCTAATATTCTCATAGGTATCATTTTTTATATTTTTGTAGGTAAAAGATCAACCTAAGTATGAGGACAACTTGTATATGTATCTCTATTTTGTCATCTTTATCATATTTGGATCATTTTTTACCTTGAACCTTTTCATTGGTGTTATTATAGACAACTTCAACCAACAAAAAAAGAAGATAAGTATTTAAAATATTTGAATATTGGTATGAATTACTAGCTATAAAGAATTTCAAAGTTATTTCTGTAAGTCTAATAAAAATCAAAAGTAATTTCAAGACCTTAAATAAAATGTCTCTTTTTAAATAATAATCTGCACTAAAATCTGTGGATGTATTTCTGAACTTTGCATTTTTAGCATTTCGACAAGTGAAAAGTTGGGTCATAATAATTTGCAAATTGTGTAAACAGTTACAATGAAGACATGAAAAGTGAATGTGAATTATTGCTTTGATTAGATGCAATATCATCTGGCATGAAATAATTTCTTTTTCAATTTACGCTAAAAAATCAGGATAAATTAAGGTACATTCATCATAATTATTTTTACAAACTCTTGACACTTCATGAAGACACAATATGGCATTGTGTTCATATAACGAATAGTGGATCTGCAAACTGATTGAATAATAAGTTAAGAGTAAGTAAAAGAGACCTCGTATGAATTGGCTTGTATCTATAAGTAAAAATGGGTACATAAGGGCTTTTTTTTCCCTAACACTTCTATGAGAATGAGATTAATTCATTAGACACAAACACAATCTATAATTCCTTATCAGTAGTAAAGCAAAGATATACAGGGAATGGTGGTTTATTTCTGTATACTTTTGACATACAAGTATGTTTAAAATAATTGTATTGATAGTGCATTCAGTTCAGTTTTAAAGAACTTTAAAATATAAAAATACAAATAATCACATTCAAAATATTTTGAAGCCTCACAGTTTTTAGTTTTGAAATGCCAGGTTCATTCTAAATTTTTGTGTGCTGTGAAAAAGCAGTTTCATATGGTTTGGTTTTTTTCAATCACCAATTAAAAAACAGCAATACCAGACAGAATCTCTGGTAAAAGAAAACTGTGAACTACAGAAATTTTTCCTTGTGCAGATATTCTTTAGCTTCCTAAACATGTCTGGGGTTACTATCAATTTTGTGATGCTTCAGGCTGTGGTACCCAGTTTAGCAGACGGTGACATTGACATTGTGCTTCCATCTGACTCAGTGCAGATTCATCAATAAGCACAATTTACCTATACTGGAAGTCATTCAGTCAGTTGCACATCTGACTGGCAGTATTTGCAACTCAGACAAAGGCTGATTTGAGTTTGTCAAGGTTCCTTCCAGTGGTGCTTTAATTTGCTATGTCACGAAATGAATTACTTTTCTTAATTTTATGTCAAAGGTGGGGGTGGTTTTTTTTGCTGTTAAAACCCACAGATTAGATACTAATACACTCTCCCAACACAAAGTCTGCTTCAAAGTTATGCCTCTTTTAGATCTGTCTAGCTGTAATCCTAAAAATCTATACAGAAGATAGCCATGTAAGGCACTAGTCATGCTCCTATTCACTAAACATATCGTAATCAGTAAGTTATTGAACAGAATCAGTACAGAAAGAATGCTTTTAGCCATTTCAGCAAAAGTGAACATGAAGACACTGGAAAAACTCAATGCATTACTCAACCCACAATGGGTTTTTCCTGTTCGTTAGGAATGTATATGAGCATCCACCCTATAAACACCTGGAAAAAGAACTCTTCCTTTTTTATATAAATTAAATATAATTTTTATTATTATATTACAGGGAGACATGATGTAGATAAATGTTTTATGTGTGGACATGATACTAATTAATTTTGATATTATTTCTTTACTTTGGAGGTCAGGATATATTTATGACAGAAGAACAGAAGAAATATTACAATGCAATGAAAAAATTGGGATCCAAAAAGCCACAGAAACCTATACCGAGGCCAGTGGTATGAGTGATTTGATTTTTACACCCTGAATATTAAATACTCATTTGGGAATATAGTCTTGTCTACAAGATAAGATTATAGGTCTGGAAAGAAAATATATTTTCAATTTATTTTACTGTAAATTGTCCCTTTTTGAATCCATCAGATTTGATTATTAATATTGTGTTGAAAAACATACATAATGAAGTATTAACAAAATTATTTAATAATATTAAATTTAATAATGATAAATTTCAAAATTCCCTGCCTAAGTCCTGGAAAACCACAATTGTTTGAATCATTTATTGGTTCTTGTTACCAGGGATAAACTTCATTTTCTGTTTTTTCTCCTCACAGAGAATTTGTAGGAAATGGGGAGGCACTGGCCCTTGCTGCTGAAGACAGAAAGGGGCACTGGTAACCTATTGGGAAAGACAGATACGGAAAATCTTACAGAATAAAATCATGTCCTAGGGAGTAAAGCACAGACTAGGATAAATTTGTCACTAAGCTAAGACACTACTCTTGTTATTTACTGAACTCCTACACTGTTTAAAAAAATAAAATACTTGTTGCACCTTATGCACCAAGTGGTTAAAAATAGACTTTCTAAGCAGAGACATATGGCAAAAAACACTGAGCTAAGTACTAAAGAAAAACTAGGATATTACAGTCATAGTGTGTTTGAGACATGTGTCTTCAGCAGCCCAATGATCTCACCAAGCACAATTAGTTTAAGGAAGAAAGAGGGTTAGCATTTTAAAACCATCTGAGAATAAAGATAAGAAAATTAGCTTTTATTCGGCTGGTACTCTTGCTGGCTATCAATTTACACCATCCATTTACCCCAATAATATTAACTGTCATTGTTATTACTCTTATTATTGCAGTGTTTCCCTTCTTGTCTCTTCAACCAACAGAGGCGAACTTCTTGATTCACTCTAGCAAGATGAGATATAAACCAGCATGTGCTGGGCTTACTGCCTCCCTTGTGAATGAGTGCTGCTTTGCACTCCTAAACCTTGAAGGGAGTTGTTTTCTCATTTTAAAAGAAAATTATTTACACTGTATAAACTGTATTCCATCTTGTATTTGCAGAACAAATTCCAAGGCATGATCTTTGATTTTGTAACTAAACAAGTATTTGACATCAGCATCATGATACTCATCTGCCTTAACATGGTCACAATGATGGTAGAAACAGATGACCAGAGTAAAGAAATGGAAACAATTTTATCCCGGATTAACCTGGTGTTCATTGTCCTTTTCACTGGAGAATTTGTCCTGAAATTGATTTCACTTCGTCATTACTACTTCACTATAGGCTGGAATATTTTTGATTTTGTGGTTGTGATTCTCTCCATAGTAGGTAAGAGCAGCTTGTTTTCCAGAAAGAACTAGTGGAAGAAATAGGAAACATTTGTTTCAAGTATGTTAATACTGATTGCAGAATTTTCTTTTTCCTATGACTTAAATGTTGATTCAGATCTTCGTATTATCTAGCATACAATATATGTAATGTTGTATATAAGATTTTTATCTCTCCCAATAAATTAATTGTCATTTTCCACATCAAAAGACATAATGAAACTATTTGGCACATTAGATTAATGTGTACAAATATAAAGAGGAATGTTTAGTGGTATATGCAAACTAACCGCAGATTTACTTTCAGTACTAGAACTGAAAATTATTTGAAATGGGTGAGATTTTTTTTTTTACTTTTGCTAAGATTTGTCAGTTAATATCTAGTGGCTGTCCAAGGTGCAAATGAGTGACACATCTGAGAAAGATTGTGCTGCTAAAACCTAGATCTGTTAAAGAAATCTCTGATTTTCAGAAATTAAGCCAATATCATCCTTCATAAAGAAAGTGCTTATAGGCTCAGCTTCAAGAATTAGCTGTATCTAAGACATAAACATCCCTTTCCCAACCATTTTAAGAACTACTGAAAGCTTAGACAGGGACTACCTACTTGCTATAATCAGTCTTTATTTTACTTATTTACCTTCTCTAGGATAGCATTTCAACATAAGGACAGATGCTTTCACCTTATTAACAGCTTTCAATAAAATGGAATCACTTGTATAATTTTTTGTTATGGCATAGAATCCCTACACTGATTATATTGGAAATAGCAATAACTCAATCTTTCCATAGGTAATTAATTAATTTTAAATTTTATTTTAATTATTTACTTTTTTTTCCTAGGTATGTTTTTGGCTGAGATGATTGAGAAGTACTTTGTATCTCCCAAGAAAAATATGAAAAAGATAAAGCAGAAAAGAACTATAAAGGTAAAGACATCAGGGAAAATAAAAAATAATGATCTAAGAATTTTGTTAATGGGACAACTTGTTTACAGTCTTTGAGAATGAATCATCAACTGGACTCCTGCAGGAGATTTATGCCAAACTGACAGTTTTTACACATATATGTGTGTGTGTGCGTGTGCGCGCGCGTGTGTGCATATATATACATTATATATATACTTAAGGTCAGTGCCTATAACAAAACAGTGAACCTCCATCATCAGACTGTGACTCTGTTAATCAGGGTAAAAAACTTGACAAGAGGTTACTGTTTCCACTACAGCTGACACTGCTAAGAATAAGGTAAAAGGTGGCTCCATAGAGAAGATGGAGCATGAAATGAGTGCAAAAATATACTTTATTTCCACAACATGTAGAACAGTAATTCTCTTCACTGTTTGTAATGCAACTGCCACACTTGTCATATTTTTACAAAAACTGTATTAGTGTATTTATCATTTTTTAATTCACAGGTTGTTTACTATTACATGTGACTATTTTTGTAATAGGTTTTATGTTGGGGAAAGAGGTATGAGGACCAGGAGTTCTACTTTCAGATTCTCTATAATGTACAGATAGGAGTGATTTGCATAGACATGCTGCATTGTCAATCATGCATAAATAAAAATATGACATTGCACAAAGCTGAAGATTTTAAGAACTTCCATATTTCAGGGTTGCTCTTAAATTTGAAGTATTCTAACTACTTGTATGGCTGCATCCAGACTATGTGCATCCAGATTAATGTGCCTGGAGAGTCTCCTCTAATTTACAGGAATCTGCAATGACTTATTTTTATGTGAATGACTAAACATTAATATGTTTATTTTAAAATATTTACAGTTCAAAAAATATTGTGCAGTTTCTGCACTGGAAAAATAGCTTCACCAAAATATATCTGGGAGTTCTTTTGTTTTGTTTTGGTTTTGACAGCTCTTTTTTTTCCCCTGGGCTATTCTTTGGTTACTGTCTTTCATTATCTCGAACATCCAGTGAATCCATAAAATACCCTTTTCCATGTAAATATTAACAGTATACTGTTGTGCATATTTGAGAATTAAATGGCTTTACCGCATTGAATTGCATCAGGTATGTACCACAGTATGGTTAATTTGCAAGAGCTCAACAGGATATGTTGTATTCTGTGTCCTAGATAGGAGAGTATCACTGATGCATGTCAATGCTGTTGCTGCTGTACCTTCTCCTTCACTGTCCACAGTCTCCACTATAGGAAGCCATGTGTCAGTGATGAAGTGAATCAAGTTGTCCAACCAGACCTCATTCTTTCAAATCATTAAGCAATAGTTTACAGCTATTTATGAGCTTTTTTAGTTTTGCATTTTAAATTTGAAGTGGCTGCTATGTCGTGTAGAATCAGACTGTACAGGCCATATTGCAAACTGTTAAACCTGTTGACAATGTGGTTAGCATATATAAATAATGTAAAGAAATACCATTTGGCAACAGTTCTGTATATAAGAAAAGTGTCTTCAAGTTTAGATCACTGTTTCTTATATTTCTTTCCTTATTCACTTGGCTTATTTTCTAACCACAGTAATTCCAAACTGGCATCATCACACTATGGGAAAAAAGTGAGTATTTGTAGACTATCTTGTTTTAATAATATATTTGCATATATTCCAATGTGAAGTAAATTGTGTAAATCTGGAACCCAGCTTGTTTCCAAATAGTTACAGGACATAGCAAGGAAAGCATTAGGGGAATGTGTGAATTTCTAGCACTATTTGCATCAGAAGTTCCAAGATAATCTCATAGTTGATTAAATCCTTGCTATCTTGCAGTGTCTGTTTACATAGTCTACTCTTATTCTTTTTTGAATCACAGTTCACTAGGCTTGTACAAATAAAGTATTTCCCAAGAAAAAAATGGCACATTTGTATAATCCAGGACATCTGGACATTTTGTGTTTCATACACAAGCTAACATTAAACGTAGAATCTTTCTTTTACAAATGCTTTTGACTTGTAATGTGTTGGTGAAATGCATGCAAGAAATTGTTATTATCATAAACAACGCAAACAATATTACATATGAGCCAAAAAATAAAGATTTCTTTTTTTTAAATTATGTTTATTTTGCTTTGTCTCTGAACTTCTGTTGGTTAAAACAAGATAAAAACTGACTTTGGTGCGAATAAGAATTGATTTTTCCCTGCAGCTAAACACCTTATTCTTCACATTTTAACTTCTACGTAAAATAATTATAAAAAAAATCTGAGAACTTTGATCAAACTACATTTCTTTTTACTTCTTTGTTATCAGCATATTGTCTGTGAATAAAATGGGACACCTACACAATTCTACCCCCAAAAAGGTCTCTCAACCCTCAAAAGCCCTTCTCAGCCATTTGTGTAATTTAAACCTCACATTACTCTACTCCTATGCTTCCAATGCATTTGAATGGAAACAACACTTGAAAGAACTCTCCACATGCTACAGGGCAAGCCTGTAGTGATGGCTATTCCAGTCGAGCATAGTTTTATATTACTACCATATTGTGCTTGTAGTCCTTCCCTACTGTTAATCCTCCTTTGCTTCCAGTCAGCAAAGGATTCCTCATTTTATTAAATCCTAAAATCCTCACTGTGTGACTATACTGATCCATGTCCTGATCACTGATTCCAGATGAATTTTCAACACGTCCAGCCACAGACAAAATGCCTTCCACTCTGTATTCAACTTCTTATCTGTCACGTATTGCCAAAAAGAGAGCATTAGTAATGCTGACAGTAGAGCTAAGTCACTCTCCTAGTCTAAGTTCATTGCTTGGTACTCTTCCTTAATGAGTTTTCAGATGAAACAATTTCCACATGAATGCCCAGAAAGGAGACATATTCCTGTTCAGTACATTACAAATTAATTCTTAGGGCAGCACAGCTTAATGCTGTTCCCATGCAAGTGTTCCCAGAAGTCCCAGTCCCTCACATGAGCTAATGCAGCAGTACTACCATGTGCACAGTCATAAAAGAGTAACGAGCTTGCAGAATTAACTGGAGCTAATTCAGCACTGAAGTAATTTTAACAAAGGAGGAAGGACCAGTGTGTGGTGGAAAAAAATCCCAACTGTTTCTTCTAAGAAGCAGACTGGCCACAATAAAGACAAGCAGGACTGCCATTATGGGAAGTTAGGAGCCTGAATAGTCAAATGTATTTACTATGAAATTCATTAATACATTAAAGGAAATGGTGAGTACTCAGCACTTTTTAGTCCATTATAAATTGCATACTGTAATTTATTGAAAAAAAAAATTAAATCCTTTGGGAGGTGAAATCATGATAGGAATGAAAAAAATCAGGAAAGTCGTTGCCCAGAGGGTTCATCACTAGTATATGACTGACATGATACATTATTATTATTGCTACACTAAATGTCACAATTGTGTGAGGATTTTTGCATTTCAAAGCTTAACTCTCTTGAAGTGCCATTTGTTGTGATCTTTATGTTCATCTCTTTAGTTCCTCAACTAGATAGATAAAATGGCAAAAAAACATAAATCTGAGCACCAAAGATTACCGAACTAACAACAAAATCTTACACTTAAAATAAGTTTGTATTATTTTTTATTTTTTGCCATTTTGAAAATGTTTGGCTATCTAGAAAAATATAAGCCTTGGAAAAGACAACGCCATGAGAGCGAAGCTCAAAACCACAGAAAAACTTAATTACAAGCAGACAAAGCAAATAGCAAGCAGAGTTCATTAGCCATGTGTCCAAATTACTGAGCTTGTTACAATGGATACTTTCTAAAATATCATGATTAATTCACATACAATTTAATAATAAGACAAGATAAGGTAAAGGAGGCTGGTGAAGTGCTGTGATCTGTTTCCACTAAACACCACAGAGCAGGGATGTGCTTCATCTTTGTAATGTAACACATACTCTGCACCACTTCACAAATTAAATACCTCACCCTCATAGAAGAAAACATACTGCAACATGAGGCTTGGCTAAGCTAAGAGAATAAATTGTACTGCAGTAGCCTAAGTAAACTGAAGCCAATTACCATCTCTCAGGAGAAAAGACAAATCACATGCATCTCTGCAGCAAGTGCTATGTTTGATGCATATATGAAAAGACATATCATGAACAATTTATAGCAGTAAAGCAGGCATTCATTCCCAAGCATTCCACACTTCAAGTACATTTCCTGTATAATAAAAGCCACTTAATGGGTTTTTTTCTCATAACCTACATTAAGGGGTAACAGGGAAAACACTATCACCCCTAAAAGTATTCATTGTTTTTATAGGAAACACACATAAAAATATAGAAAGCACTTACCAGACCTTGCATAGCATTACTGTTTTTTTCTATAACAGGATTTTCAGCATCACAGGGATCTTTATGCTTTATTTTAAAACCTTATTAGTCTGTACATGGATCACAAACACTCTGCCTCACCGTTTTCCTGATATAGAAGTGTTTGGTTTGCTTTCAGAAGGCAAAGCCCCAGGTACATGCTTATAGTGAAATACCAGCAAAGTACAGTCTTAATGAGTGAAATTGGACACCTAAATTGAAGTGGGTCATGTCATTTTTTCCTTCAGTCTAATGTAGTGATATCACATCCAGCAAACCAAAAGAAGCAGTTTAACAACATATCATATAACAGCAGTTATATTCAAAGATAACGTGCACAGGTTTTTTAATTATGTCACACAAACACTGTAAGTTGTATTATGAATTTCTTTCCCAGAGATTTGGACCTGATCGACTGAATTGAACAGCCACAAAAATTTACACATCTTCAATTTTTTCGCTTGTTGCTGTTACTGGGGGATGACAGTGATGGGCCTAATTTCATGACTGCAGGAAGCTCAGTACTGGTATACACTTCAGAGATCCCAGCTCTGATCTAAGGAAGGAAATTGATTGACCCAGAAAAAAATAACAGATTTTAACTCTGTGGAATATCAAAGGCCTTATCTTACCTCTTCATGCAAATATGCAGAGAAAGATCT